AAAAGAGAGAGTTAGAGCTGAAGAGGGAGCTGGTCCCACCGCGCGCTGTAGTAAGAGGGCGGGGGCGCTGGAAATGAATATACAGAAAATCGTCAACGACTACTACCTGGAGCTCAAAGATCGTGCGGGACATATAAAAATGCTTCCGGGCGCTGACTTCACACCACGCACTGGGGCTGCGAGCCCCCTCCAGTTATAATAGAATGCGAGTTAAGCAGAACACAGGTCCGAGCAGCTCGAGTTAATCATGTCTGAAAAAATGTTCCTTTGCGGTCCCGGTTTTTGGCTTTTTGCCCAGACTGAAACTATCCCATTACAGTAGTTGGATAGTCACACAATAGCTTGGCGGGGCCCTACCGCAGCATGGCTGGCCAATTACAAACAATACCAGACACATTATACGTACTACAAATTGCACTAAAACTACTGTATGTAATATTGGGATAGATGACAAGCAAGCAAAGTAAGGCGTCAATGGTCTTTGGATGAGAGCAGATTAGCTACATATTAGCAGGAAACCACAATCTCGCCCTATTCAGCTACATCGTACATGGTCCAGTCACAGGGCAGGAAATGCGTTGACATGTGCTTTTGGTACCCGCAAAATACACAATTAGTAATATACGTATACACAGACATGCACAACACATTGATGTCTCATAATACACACATACTGTTCTATGCCATAAACACACCCACTTAACATCACTTTAGTGTCGTGGGTTGAGCGTGCACTTTGATTTTCCCAAATATAGTTATATTGGTACCATTAATGTGACCGCTTTTGTGATTGGCCTCACAGCACTTTCGTGGTACGGCATAGTACCCTGTTTTTACAAATCAAATCTTAATGTACATACAACTGGAATACATGCACAATATGCATTACTCCTGATGTATTACTGCTTTGCAACACCAACACTAACTTTAGTTGGAGGACAATTCACACGCAAAAAATAATGTTTAAATCACGGGTTCTCTGCACCTCATGAACCCACATGTTGTGTGGTAAAACTACACACGACACTTGGCTCTCTATAATGCTAATTAAGACAGCTGAGTTTTCCCTTTTAAGGGAGAGCTAGTAGATCGGTTTAGAATATATGTGACAATATAACGACCCTTTTAAGGGAGAGCTAGTAGATCGGTTAGAAGAATATGTGGATTCACATATGTAGTACGAGCCGTCGATTCAATTCATAAGAAGAGTTTTTTCTCTACCACAACTGAGCTAGAGAGTGGGAGAACAGGGGCTCACGTTTTGAGGGTCCCGGAGGTCATGAGTTCAGTAATGAGGACGAGGACCTTCTTCTCTCTCTTCTCGGAACCTCCTCCTCCAACTTTACCGCCAATCTCCCAGGAATCGTAGAGACGGAGGATGTTGGGGTGTTGGAGGGTTTTCAGGATGGCCACCTCCTCTTTGAACCGCGCCTGCTCCGCCTTGTTGTATCTGTTTTCCTGGGAAGGGAGAGGGGGAGGGGGGAGGAGAATAAAAAATGGAGCAGGAAAGAAGAGAAGAGAGGTGGAAAGGGAGATGGGAAAGACGAGGACGGCAAGAGGGAATAAAAGCAGAGGAAATATAGAAGAGAATAGAGGTGTACAGGGAGGGGGGGAAATGGGGAGAAGGCGAGAGAAGAAGAATAGAAAAGCAGAAATTTTAAAGAGAAGAGAGATGGACAGGGAGGGAAAGGGAAGGATGCAGGGGAGAGGAATGTGTGATTGACAGAATAATTATGAATAGAGCTGACATGAAGGTATTCACATTGTACAGAATACCAGCGCCATGTGTGTGTGGCAGAAAAAAGGCGGGATATTGATGGGTGGCAAGCCTCATACACACTAATCACTCTCTTGTGACACAATGAGTTTCATAGAATGTCAGTGAAAAGACAGCACCCCACTGCTCAACTTCCCAACCTGTACATTGGTAGAGCTTCAGTGGGCAAACAGTAGTCTTTTGAAATTACCAGCTGTTTGTCCGTCAGATGAAATCAATAGGGGTTGCCCTGAACTACATAATGCATTAGGCGGGTGGCTGCACCACAAGCTATAAAGACAGCCTTGAAAACCACATGCTCCCAACCGCCACTGCCACGCAACTCTTTGGGAAAAAGGTGCATAATATATTACCATTCTCCATATTTCAAAAACTGTAGCGTATTTCTAATGCATTAGGCAATAATGCGCGGCATCGAAGTATTTTTAAAAGTATGGTACACATGCATGTAATGGTGATGCGGAGTAGCTGGCAGCTACGGTGATAGTTTTCCCTAGAGTATTGCACACCTGTGTTTGTACAGCTACATACAGGTCACAACAAAACTGCAACACATCTGGATACATGCAGACAGTGTGTGGTAGCCTATAAAACAAACACACTTCCTGCACGAGTGTAAAGTAAAGTGTGCTGCAACCCCGGAAGAGGTGACTGACACACGCACACACACACACACACACACACACGGAGGGAGGGGGAAGGATTAAGTGGACACACCTGAAGTTCGCACCAAGCCACGGCAACACCGGTCTCCGTGTCCAGACCCTTGTAGACCGTTTTGAACGACCCCCTCCCGATTTCAATGTCGAACTTGTTGAATCTTCCATTGGGGGACACGGCCAGAGGCATCATCAGTGGTTCCTGTACATACATACAGAGAGAAGAAAGAGCTGAAACTCTCTGGGGCTGAGTAATGTAGGTGTGTGACTAATATATGTAACATTATATTATACACATGCGGTCCAATGAGTAAAGAGAAACAAACTAACCTCAGCTGCGTCCTGAGGCTTCTCCTCAACTTGTCCGTCAAATGGTCCCATCTTCCCTCCATCCCCTCCTCCACGGTCGGAGTTCTGCCGGGAGAAACTCCGCTCTTGCCCCTCCCCCATTACAGACAACTTCCCCGCCATCCCACTTTCAGACGGGACCGTCCCGGATTCAAACTGGACGCCGGTTCCTATCCCGTTTGTCAATACCTCGTCGTCATTGTGTCTGGTACCGAGACCAGATGTACTTTCGGAATGAAGACCAGTTGACTTGAGATCTTCCTTGACCGGAGGTTGGGGTTGTTGTCTCGTCAAACAGGGGCTGTCCTCTCCTCCTCCCCCTCCTCCTCCCTTACTCCCTACCGCAACTGTCTCCTCACTCTCTGCCATCAACTCTACAAAGGCACAATAATTATTACTGAAATAAGAGCGAGGGAGCCCCTGTCAATTAGATCTCTAATAGAGATACATACTGTAAAACTTACACCAGCCATCCAGCCAAAACCTAAGTAATACACTCTCAGTCTTTCCACATTATTTCCTTACAAACGGACGAGTTGTTAGTTGGTATGTATAGTACAGTACATGCGCGACCGAGACGAGATGGGAGAGAGTGACAAAGTGATGTAGGAACCACTCTGGGGCCCAATGTATAACAAACCTCCCCCCCCTCCCTCTGTCATAATAGCTACACACAAACACATCTGCCTACACATACAGGTTCCACACGGTTCATGCCAAGTACGCAAAAATGGGGATTTGGGGACGTGCAATAGTAAATAATGGCAGCAAATGAAGTGTTGAGAAATCATCTGTTTTAAACAGGACACTGTCAGAGTGTGTCTTAAACGTGAACTTGTCCTAAAATGGTTTGAGTGTCATGAAAATGGACTTGTCCTAAACTGGTAGGTGCCCTGAACACAAGATACACATAAACAGGAGATGTGAGATGTGAGCAGGAAAGAAAGCATCGTCAGGACTGTATCAGCAAGGGCGGGTTGTTGGTGGGTTTTTCATAATGGCCACTACATCTGCCATGCATCTGTAACGCAATTAAAAACCAATCGAACTCGTATAGAGTAGAGTTGGTGACCAGTAATTACTATTAAACTCTTGATAGGTAAAAAATTGCGGCAATCTCAAGACCTCTCCTTGCACCCCCCCCTTCTCTCTTCTTCTCCCACCACTGCCGTAAGCAAGCAACTGAAACAGCTAGTGCCAACATTCCTACACACAACCGACACGGAGTGAACAAAAGTAGAGGACATCTCTCTACACGTGTAGACGTGTGGTATGCCTCCTTCATGTGGCAATGCCCCTCGGTGGGTTGGAGATCAGACCTCAACCACCACATACAGTACATACACAGCTACTATACTGTGCATAATACTGTTCATAAAGCATACTTCACAAGCTGTGTCATCAGTCGCACTGCCGAGCAAGCACACGGTGGCCATGGCCAAGTTAAATTACTATAAAGGAGGGGGCATCAATATGTACAATGCAATTGCAAAAGTAGGACACGTTTCAAAACCAATGGCGCATGAAATTTTTTTTCAATCATGACTTTTTCATGTGCACTTAATTACACGTGTGTGTACAAGCATGTCCAGCATCTGCCGTTGAAATACGCTACCGGCGTACAGGGCAAACACATGGCCAAGAAAAGCCACTCTCTATGTCACAGAGTTGTGGGCCAGGCTTCATAGACACAACTGTGCTATGGTATAGCAATGCACAGACGCATGCGTCTATCCACCTCCAAACCAAACTTAATTTCTCAACAGCCCACACCACCGAGCTGGCCGAAATCCACGGACACACTCTGTGCTGTCAGAGAACACTCTGCACATTGTGGTAAACATGGGACTACAGCAGAGGGACACGTGTGTTCCTCTGCCCTTCCCACCCAAACTGTGTCTCCATACTTTTTACGTACAGCCAGAGAGAGAGAGAAGAAAAGGAAAAGGGAAGAAGGAGAGAGACGCAAAACGAAAGAAGGCGCCCCCCAAAAGCAAGATAACGCTTACTCGTATATAGTCTCCTTTACTCTCTTTCAAATGATATATCTCCCTGCGGTCGCACACACCCAAAACAGAGAGAGAATGCCGGCGTGCTCTCCTCGCAGAGCTCCGGAGAGCGGCGTCCAATCGCTCCGGCCCGGCAAAACCGCGGGGCGCGGGTTCCGACGAAGAGACTTTTGTGGCGGAGGGACAGCGGCTCGACGCTCCGGACTCTTCGACTCCGAGTCACGTCTTAGAGCGCCACCATAGTTACTCCTTCTCCACGTTGCGTCCGCTTCTTGTCCGAACCAGCTACGAAATGCGTGGCTGCAGGATTCGGTAGGCGCCTAGCTAAAAGGCTTGCCCATACGCGCTTAATAAATAATTACCACGTGATAAACACGCCCCCCAAGTTTCTGTCGCGCGCGCCGTCAGCCACCACTGCGCACGACAGGTTTGTCATCGAACGAAGAAGGGCCATGGATATCCTAAGGGTTTGCGTGCAGGAGATCGCACTGTCTGGACTGGAAGGTGAGCCTCTTTAATGCCTGCACAACCCGCGATATCCCGTTTCATTCCAATTATTGCGCACCCGACGGTCATCTCTCCGCGAGGTTGAGAAAAATCGAGACTCTGTCTCGTAGCGATCTGCGGTGGCTGTTGGTAAAAACAAGCAGCCGGCAAAGTTTACGCATGTACAGAAAAATAGTTGTGACGAGCAAAGAAAAATAAACGGGAGGGGTTTCGAACTGCCAATCTCTCGCACAAGAATACATCGGCTTAGCCACTAGGCCACCGTAGAGTTGGGTGAGACTCCGTCAATCTTTGCAGGTTGCACCATGGCTGAGCTGTGGCAGCACCTCTCCGGCCGCCAGCCCCCTCTCTCTGTGACGATGGACGAGCCAATGAAGGCCTTCATCTGGGACCAGATGAAGGAGACGGTTCTACAGAGTGGGAGCGTGGGGGTCTACCAGTTGGCTCAGCCGCGGACACCGCCAACGAGCCTCACAGAATCACAAATCCTGCACGGGCTGAATTTGACGAAATACAAACACCCTTTCCCTTACCGGTAATAAAAAAGGCTCTGACGTTGGTTGCTGCGTAAAATGCTCACTTTTTCTCTGGTTTTTCGTATTGTGCAGTCCGATAAACAAAGAGGACGGAGTGCGTGGTTCTTGCAGTACATACGAAGAGAGGAAGGAAATCACAGAGACCATTCTGAGTGCCAGTACCGACTTGGAGAACTTTTCTGATACGTACGTATGTATGTCCAAATTTGTGAGCTTTAGGGGACTGCTGGTGTTGATGGTGTGCACCATAAACAGTGTATTCATCAGCTGAAAATTATCAGCTTTATAGCTCTGTATAAGCCTATGCGTATTGCCAAAACGACTCCCCCTTACGACCCCAGATACGGAGACACTACAGTCCTGGTGGCAAGTCAGGAGGTCAGAGAGAGAATTCTGTTGAGGGAAGACAGTTGCACGCACCGCGACATGTCTCTCGTCCAATACTGCATTCTGGAGGTGGTCGGGGCGGCTCGTCACCACGGGATCCTCAGAAACTGACCTCACGAAAAAGGTTCTGAAGATCGACCCGCGAAGTACCTTTCATCACTGCAGGACCTTGGAGGGCTTCGGGTTGCTCAAAGTCACAGTGAGAATTACTTGTACCGCACGAAAATCACGAAAGATTTTTGCGATTTTCTACGGTAAAAGAATGAAACGAATTGGCAATGTATATATTTTATGTAAAAGTTTGTTAATCACATGTTATCTACCCCGCATACAGTTTTTGCCCCATGTAAAAAACTTACGTCTATTCAGATTAACTTAACCCTTTCTCTGTGTCAGGGGAGCAAGAGAAACTCCATTGAGCTGATTCATCTCCTCATCCTCCCCTCCTACCCTCTTCCTCCCTGGCTTCTGGAGGCCAACTATCCATCTCTCATCACCAACATGCTCCTGAGAGAGCCCAGCCACACCCTACCCACGTCCACCGTGTCCTCTGCCTTTGTGAGCTCCACATGCAGCTGTATATAAACTGTACACCTTTACGTTCGCTGTTCCTTGATTGTGTCGTGCTGTATATACTTTTTGAAAGAACTGCAGTTTAGTTGCCCGTCAACAGTATTGAAAGAATGTAGCAGTATGTAAGGGCTAAATATAGAAACTGTTACTGAAAATGGAAAGTTACGTAATTGTTAATTGTATTCTTGCACTGGGCCCTATTGTTTAGTTCTATCTTTAGTAACATTTCTAAATTTAGCCCTTATGTGCTGACACATTCCCTGTATAATTGTGCATAAAGCTAGGTATGTACATGTGTGAACATCCATATACTAAGTACCTTTTTTTGCTCTAGCAAGCGAAATGCAAAATAGAAATTTTTGGTGTAAAAAATTCAGTGTTGTTTTGGCTCTTTTGTATGTGTCCAGGGCAAAGGATTTAAATCATGCAGAAATCAATTGATAAAAGGAGGCTACGTTGAGTCAGTTTTACTGCCAAAACCTCCCACTATAACGAAAACGAAACCAGTCACCGGTGGAAAGGTCCCGAAGGTCTGGTACCTTCGTTTGCTAAAGCCTTTCACTGCGACGGAGGAGGAGGGAGAGGAGGGGGGAGGGGAGGGAGAGAGAGGGGAGGGAGGAGGGGAGGAATGTGCGGCCCACACCGATCGTGTTTGAAATGCCGATCGACATGCAGGGATACAGGGTCATTGACAAGAGTGGGCCTCGCGGTATCAACAATTCGGTACGTCACACTTTCTCATTTCTGCATCTTATTCGACGATCTCACATGTGGTTGAACTTTGTTTTGCGTGAGGCAGAGGAAACGATGGAATTTTGTAAAAGAAACATACTGTATTTCTATTGCTTTGTTGTATATGTTTACTTTTCATACGCTATGTGAGTGTTAACATATCTTTGACATGTTTGGCCTTCATACCTAACTCCGCCCCTCTACTCCTTTCTCTCCCTCTCTCTCCAACCAGACATTCTGTGACAGTGGGCTTCAGATTGACGTCCTCTGCGCCAGGCAGCTCTCCAAAGCTCTCATCAAGAGCAAAAACATTGTCACAATTCTCATCGACGAAGCCGGAGTCAAAAAAATAAAGTCAGCATTAGCTTCTGTCAGAACTTAGTGTAGCAATACACAAAACATTGTGCTATATATCTGTGTACAGTTGAACAAGAGACACTATGGGGGCAACGATTTTGTCCCTTGTAGAGAGGTTGTCCCTATAATTAATGTATTAGCATGGGGTTGAAACGAGTGTCCTTTGTAGAGATGTCCTCCCTATCTCGGAGGGTCCCCTTATCGGAGGTTCCACTGCATGTCCATAGGCTTGTGGCTGCACGACACATACAGAAGAATAAGGACTACGAACAGCTGCTGGCGGAGCAGGCCAGGAGCTCATTCTCTCAGGGTGACCTTGGAATCAGGACGGGCTGCGCCATGTTCACTGACACTGTGGAACGGTATCGGGACAAGAAGAGGGTGAGGAGGAGCGAGAGCATCGTATCGTCGGTGGGTGGGGCAAGTGTGGGCGGAGTCTCAGATAACGAGGCGGCAGGGGAAGGGGTCAGGGAAGAGAAAGGTGATGGTGCATTGGTCCCAGTTCCATACTGTGTCCCAGGCCCGTCTGGAATCGGACATGGGGATGAGACTCAGCCAAGTCCCAGTTCCATGATGAAATCATACACAAGCAAGTCGTTCAAAAAGAAAAAACGTGAGTATGTAAAATATAATGACGTCATTATTACGTAATTGTTTCCAGAGCTCCTGACCTACAACCAGTTGAAGCGTCTCAACGTCATCTCAAAATATGTAGAGGAGAAAGAAATTGTGGTCGGTTTGAACGACATTTTGGAGGTAAGGGAAGGTCACATGACCATCATGTGATAGTCATGTGATCTCACATGTGAACTCTCGTCCTCCAGCACATCCGCCAGTGTGAGAAGTTGGAGGGGAGATTGCAGATGGTCGATCGGAAAACAACGGAAAAGTACGTAACAAGATTTATTTACAGCTTTTTTTCAGCCAATTTTTACGTATGGTAAAAAATGAACCTGCCACACATCGCATGCTTACTGCGATTTTCTACTCAGTACACGAGAAACGTAATCTTGTGAATAAACAGTTCCTGCTACAAATTTCTTACCGTCTGGTGTACATAAGTTGCTTGTGTTTACTGCAGGTGTGTTGCATATCTTGTGGCCGGCAAGAAGCTTTGTCAGAAGAATGTGATTGTACCAGACCTTCCAAAACATAAACTGGTAACTAATACATCGACAGTAAACGACTGTAAAATTGAGGCTTAGTTCTTTCGTACTTTTAGTAAGATTGCTAAGAGAAGACCATGCAAACCAACCACTCTGAAGCTATAAGCTATGGTCGTAGAATGCAGTGCAATAATCATAACAAAGAATGGTAGGGGTGGCTTAAATTGTTCGTACTTTTAGTGAGCCCATGGATGTAGGGGGAAACTGCAGTAAATGCCTTGACTATAATAATTAATGACTGAAGATTGCAGTGCAAATAACTATTACCATCAAAAGCACACACACGTAAATTGACCTGCCTTTTTGTATACTTCTTTAGATAAAGCAAGACCAATCTTTCTCCCCTCCCAGCCCTCCGTGATCTTTGCACCTGGAGTCAGTCCAGAGAAGCTGGAGGCAGTGGAAGAGAAGCTGATCCTGACAGCTAGAGAGGCCAACGTCAAGAAAGAGAGCAAGGCAGGCACCACCATCATATTGTATCATATTATTGCTTAGTCCTTGAGTACATTTTATACCAACGGTGTGTTTAAAAAGTCCGATATTGAGGTAGTGGGGGATGTGAACCTCGTGCTGGCCTGGTAAAAAAAGAAAGCCCATATTTATAGAGGAAAAAAGAGAGCTGTAACATGGCATTCTTTAACTCTCTCAACTGGCACGCTGCCTTGCTGCATGCAGCTCATCTTTCTCCTGCCCGCAGCTGGAGGCGAGAGGCAGGAAAAGGAAGAGAAAAGAGGAGGCAGATGAGGAAGAGGAGGCCGAGGGAGGCGAAGAGGAAGAAGAAGAGAGCGACGTTGGTGACGAAACTGCAGTTGTTCCGGTTCGTCTCTCACCACTACACATAATCACTTCTTATAGCGAGAAACTTTTGGGCATGGAATGAACCCTAAGCGTCAAGAAACTTCTAGAAACAGCTCACTGGCAAACATATACTCAATCGTGGAGAAAAAACTTTCGCAAGTTTTCCGGGGAAGTTTGTGCATGGAATTGGTGTTGGTAACTGAATATTTTCCCTTAATAAACAGTGAATGTCTATTGTTCACAGGAGATGCCGAGAACGTCTAAGTTCCAGAGGTTGAAACGACTCCATTTCTTCCTGTGGCTACAGGCTTACGGCGTCGGTGAGACCACACCCACTGTAGGGTCAGAGGTCAAGGCTGCTAACGGTGACGTGGAAGATGAGGGGACATCGACCAGCGAGGCTGTCACCAGCTCTGCTCTCCCTCCTCCCATCACAAATAACTATCCCTGGGTTACCATGGTGACGCAGCTGCCACAGAATAGGCGGGGCCCCGGATGGCTGGGCTACAATGACATCATCCCTAATATGCCGCTGTCTCTGTTTACCTTTTTAATGCCCACCCTCGCTGGCGGACAGGTAATATTAGTGCTCGCTTCAGATTCCTTGTACAGCCATGGGCATAAAATTTTGTCTGCTGCAATTACGATAAAAAGTGACTTAATGCTTCAATTTATGTGCTCCATCCAGTGAAAATTTAAGCAGAATGTACTGCTCCATTCAGTCAAATTTTAAGCAGAATGTACTGCTCCATTCAGTCAAAATTTAAGCAGAATGCACTGCTCCATTCAGTCAAAATTTGAGCCTCTGTCACATCTTCTTCTCCAACAGACAATTCCAGCGAGGTACATCGACTACTTCTCTCTCCCTGACCTCACACACACCCCCATCGGCCGGTTGCCACGGAGACTGCGAGTGGTCATCCAGAGCGAGCGACGTGACGTGTCTCTGGTGAACCAGCTGCTGGAGAGACTGGTCGAGATCGAGTTGGTCCGCTCCGAGGGCAACATTCAGACCAACAAGAAGAGAGAGCAGGTGTACATTCTGTACATACCATTATTATAATGCTCATTTCTCTCTCTCTCTCTCTCTCTCTCTCTGATGTGTAGGTATTTGTTCATCTGGAGAGGTCCAAGACCATTCTGGACACGACGGTCTGCGTTCCACGTCGTTCGTTCTTCTTGGAGGAGGCACGCTCCCTCTTCAAACACGTCGTTTGTACTCTGACCTCCCTGACAGCGTGTGAGCGCTTCTGGTACCAGCTCCAGACAATATGTCTGAGGACAACTATTATACTGGGTGAGAGCTCGTCACATTATTAGTATTGACACTTTTTAGGGGCACAGTTTAGTGGCTGGTTTTTAAAAACAATTTCATGCTTGGAAAGTTATCTATATACGACAAGATTAACCTCGTTCCTAGACCTTCTCAGCAGCTATACATGTACATGACATTTTACGCCATGTGTGGTGCCATTGTCTAATATTTTCATGCGGGACAGAATGGACTCCATTACATTTGTTCGCTCCTCGCAGTGGAGAGGACTCGGCCAAGTAAGAAGAGGAAGAAGGCCTCGCAGGCCACACCCACCCCATCCAGCACTAACGATCCCCACTCCCTCACCTACACACTGCGCAATACTCGCATCACCACCAAAATTGCGAGGGAGTACAATGAACAGGGTTTCGGCGCCGGAGGATTGCCTCCCCTCACTTTTTCCCACCTCCCTCGGAACTGGTGCTGTTCCTCGCATCGTGACGAGGACGGCGGTGGTGGTATGGGAACCGGGGAACGTGGAATGGGGGTTGGGAATGGGGAAGGTGGAATGGAATGGAGCTACGGTCCGGGGATGGCACTGGGGGGCCTTGATGCACCACTAGCTGGAGGAGTTGAGGGGGAAGAAGAAGGAAAAGAGGGAGGAGGATGAAACGAGTGCTCCGCCCCATAAACGAACATGTGTGGGTCCGAGACCACACCCCCAGAGAGTGGGCGTGGTCAACATTCCATCTCATCATATTCAGCGGTACAGCGGAGGTCGCGGGTTCACGCGATTCCGAAGCAAGCGAGCCCTTGAAGAGTTAGTAACTTACAAGAAACTAATAGAGTGGGTGTGGCTAATTGTTTCTCTCACAATGCAGCTGCCAGGAAGCTGAAGAAGGTAAAGAACGCCAATTCGCGGTACAGTGTCCTCGCCAAGTCCGCAGTTCTAGGTAATGTGTGTTTTCGGTCGATTTAACACAATTATGAAGCATTGCCTTATAACTTGCTGATTGACGAATATGCTCCATGGTGTGTGTGTGTGTGTGTGTGTGTGTGTGTGTGTAGTGATGGACGGTGCGACAAAGAAGGATCGAGAGATGGTGACAGTCAAGACTCACAGAGAGAGGGTCAGATGGCTGCCTCATGAAGATTCTTTTGTGAGTGTTTTACAGCACATGGCAACCCAATGAGCTCTCTCTCTCTCTCTCTCTCTCTCTCTCTGTCGTTGCTCATTTCACATCTTCCTCTCTCGTCTCCCTCCCTTTCTCTCCCGATCCCTCCCCTCAGCTACTCTTGGCCTATCTTGCATCCCACGCCCTTCGCCAGGTGACTGGGGGAGCAACCGTCAGCTACCAGCAGATCAGAGACTCTCTCCATGCCGAGTACCCCGTAAGCTCTGCACTGCGACCTATACACTCTGACCTCTGGTCCCTGTGACTCCGCCCACATTAGACGTCACGTGACAAGTCGATGGATGCGGTTTTGAGGAGAGTGAGCAAGTTGCGGAAGAGAAGGAAGGCCCTGTCTGCCACTGTCAACGTTTGCCTGGCTGAGATACTCAGTGAAATTGTGAGTCCTCCATCTTACCCTCCACCTCCTTCTTTTCTCTCTTTTCTTCTCTCTGAGTACCTATGTATATATTACATAATTACCATTACATCACTATCCATTACATCATTGTCCATTACATCACTATCCATTACATCATTGTCCATTACATCATTATCCATTACATCACTATGATTGAAAGGTTTAGCGTGCCAACCTACGTAGTTGTTCTGGCACTTTCACATACTAACAGCTGAAATTTTTCACTCACGTTAATTCTAATGCACTAAGAATTGCATTACGAAAGAACTGCAATCACTGTCTTATTGTCCCTCTCTGCCTGCAGCAAGGTCTGGGTTCTGCCTCGGCCCGGAGCCGACCTTCCCGTCTCTCCTCTCCTTCGTCACTCAGAGATACAGCTCTCACGGTGGGCTCCTATTGGGGAGAGGCTCCACCCTCCCTTCTTCCCTGTCGGAGCTACGGAGTGACTATGCCATTGTGGGATGGCACAGTGTGAGTGTATAACATAAGACTACGTGTTCCATTTTTCAGATGTCACTTACTATCCTTAATGTTACTATGTACCAACCATGTTTTGAATCATGAGTCATGCACATATATGGCTGTGGAGCATCGTTACTCCTCTTTATTAGGAGGCAGAAACGGACGCTGTTGAAGAGACTGAAGACGATGACCACACCCTAAACCACGCCCTCTTGACCGACCTCATTATTGTGAGACCACACCCACTAATACGAAATCACCCTTTTCCCAATTAATGCCCCCTCATCCGCAGGCGTGTCTTGGTGCCGAGGAGTCTAACTATGATCATTACTCTGCTTTCAAGATTTTCGAAACTTTTCCAGAGGTTTTTCAAATTTTATTACATATAATTGCATTTTGCTTATTTTGTTAGCTGGAACTTTTGCGGAGTGTTTGAGCCCATATCATTATGTGACACACAAGATGTATTGTTGTTGTAGGAGGACGTGCAGATTGCCTTTGACCAGCTAAAGAGTCGGTACCTCATCAGAAGACGAGTGAGCCTTGCCACATTATCACACAAAATTAGTCCCTCAATCTCTCTTCTCTCTCTCTCTTCTCTCTCTCTCTCTCTCTCTCTCTCTCTCCTCTCTCTCTCTCTCTCTCTCTCTTCTCTCCGTCCAGAGACAAACAGTAGGCGGAGGTCCTCTACAATGCCAGTCATTTCAACTGGCCACAAAGTCAGTCAAATAATTTTGACGGCTCTCACACATTTTTAAAACTATTTGTTTTAGTTTCAACAGCAAATTGGAAGGCAGTTATTTCATTGGAACCGGGAAGGCAGCTGCAGAGTTTGCCGGGAATTTGGCGGGAAAGAGGTCAAAGGTCGCGGAAGACCTGAAGAAGCGGCCATCTGACGAATTAGCTGGTGGTAAGGTCACTTGATGCGGGTCATGTGATGTCACATGACTGTCATGTGATCTGCAGGTGCTCTGGAATTGGGTATGGAGGTGGAGAGTGGGACAGTGAGCGGCGGAATCATCTTGTCTCTTGTTTCAACACTTTTTGCAGAAGATGTAGGAAAAGTGGGTAGCTTAATATAAATCACCAGTTTTCAGATATATACAGTGGAACCCCTCTCATCCAGACAACAATGGGACAAAAGAAAGTAGTGAGGTTCAGGGATTAAATTCAAGGTGTTTTAGGGGAAAGAAAAAAGGTGTCCATTTAAAAGAGAGGTGTCCTCATTGTCCTCAGAGAGGGGTTCTACTGTATTAAGTACATGTGTAAAGAAAAAAGGGTTGAAAAAAGGTGTCCATTTAAAAGAGAGGTGTCCTCATTGTCCTCAGAGAGGGGTTCTACTGTATTAAGTACATGTGTAATACAGATGGTCTGTGAGCCAGTGCTGCCTGAACGCCTCTTTGAGACCGATGATGAACAGGACGCGGAGAAGAGAACCGCTCAACAGAAACAGCTCTTTGAAGGAGCGTTGGATGAGGGGAGGGAGGGAGGCGAGGGAGAAGGGAGGGAAGAAGAGGATGAGAACGGAGGGAGAAGAGAGGTTCAGAAACAAGGGGAAGGAGAGGAAACGGAAAAGGGAGAAGAAGAAATAGCTGGGAAAGACGGGAAAGATGGACAGGGAGAGGAAAGGAGAGATGGAGACACGAATCCAGCGGAGGGAGTGGAAGGAGAAGAAGAGGATGAGGATGAGGGAGAGAAATGTACTCCAAGAGACGCTCGATACTCCGGGACTGGAGTGAGCTCTCTGCTTCGCGTGGGAGATAACTCCACCCAGAATCACGGCACTCTGACCCTTGACCTCAACTTCCCCTGGTCCTCTTTGCTGGACCCCCTCCCTGATGAGGTGACTCCGCCCTCTCTCGCCACGTGGGCAGAGGAGACCCCGCCCGATTCAGACACGCCCCTCTCCCTCGATGCCTACCTCAGTCTGTGTAGGGAGCACCTCAATATGTCGGATGGAGAGGCATGTTTCAATGGCCAGGTGTACAAGTGTGTGGAGAAGGGAGGGGAGAGAGGGAGGAGAGAGGAAGAGCTGCAGTCCCTTCTTCCCCCCCTGCCTCCCTCGTCCGGTCTCTCTCTCACTGACCACATCCAGTGTCTCCTCAACTTTGAAACGGTGAGAGAAAATGGGTTAAGTTTTTTTGTGGAAAAGACCAGATTAATGTTTTCTACATGATTGCAGATGAAAAGTTTTAGGTACACAGCCACACAAACGCAAAATTTATGTTCCATATTTTTAGTGCCAGCACATAAGCACTGGTGTTCACTGCATTTGTCTTTGCCTCTTTCTCCCCCTCTATATATCAGGTGGTCAAAGTTGGTTCTCGTTTGGTAGCAGCTGTCCACGCCAAGAGATGGTGTATGCCAGTCTCCAGTCCCCATTCCACGTCGCCCGCAGACCTGGTTCCATACCGGCCCTGGGTGACCGTAAACTCCACCCACCCTAACGAGACGATGATGAGGCGATATCGTGAGGGAGTGCTCACGTTTATCAGGTCCACCCCGGGAGCTTCGCTGGTGAGGGGAGAGAAATGGGCGGAGCTTTTATTGGGTTTAAGTGTGTGCATGGAGTTTGTCTAAAACTGACTCTGAGGGACTTCACACACTTCTAAAGACAGCAGAAGCTTCTTACAATGATTCTCGTATTTTTCCTTCAAATTCGCCTTTTTTCAATTTTGCTCAGAGGCAAGTGTCGGAGCATTTCTCAGGCATGCTGCATTGGCCAGCTCTCTGTCAGATACTGCAGGTCTGTACAGCTGTCCATTACTACAGTATAATTATTCCAGATTCCATTGCCTTTCTCCAGAGTTTGGAGAGTCAACAGGTGGTCGTGTTGCACAGTTTGGCAGTGGCACCAGATCGGCTGCACCGGAGAGCACAGGACGCGGTGTACTGCCTACCAGCCCTCTGACGATCCGACACATGACAGCAGCAATCATTACTTCATTCGATTACCTTCAGTTTCATTTTATGCCCAATCGTGATTCATTTCATGAGTGCCTGATCATCTGTCAATACAAATTAGTAGGAGTGTGTGGATTCTACTAATATTTCACAATCACCACATAACATCATCAACCAACTTTTACAACTACTGCTAAAAATCTTGTTAACTAATGCGTTCGATTGGATTCCATTCCACTGGTATGGATCAGAGACTCTCCATCACCATGGTGATTTAGAAGAGTGTCCTCATGACAACAACCAAACAAACGGTTGCTATGAACCAGCAGAAGGGGAAAACCTGTGCGACTTTGTTAGCCACACCCACCCGGTCACCAAGGAGACAAGGGGGGTGTGGCTTAACCTCAGCAGCCCTGGGAGGTGACTTCGACGCCAGAGCTCTTGGTGATGGAAAGAGTTGTGAAGGTCTCGGAGCACGTGGGGTGGATCCCGACCGTGAGGTCAAAGTCCTCTTTGGTGGCCGCAAGTTTCATGGCAACAGCGTAGCCCTGGGTGATCTCTCCCGCATTGGGACCGAGCACCTGGAGACCTATGACCCTCTCCTGCGTAATGGGGTGTGAATGAGATGGTATATAATGCGGCCCAGGGTGTCGGCTATGCTCCATGCCATAATAACACTAGTCTAGCGTATGTTACAGCGGTGCAAGAGATCGCGCACAACAGAGGGAGATGAAAGGGAGACAGAGAGAAGTAAGTCCCTCCTTCTCTCTCGCTTCACTAACTTCCGCCAAAGTTTCGGGAAAGCACAGAAAAGGAGGTCTCACTTTGTCCAGTTTGTTACAGATCAGTTTGCAGTAGCAGGCGTTCTCCTCCCTGCCAGCAAGTGTATACTCCAGGGGCCATAAATTCGAGTGATAAACCTGGAAAAAAAGCACAAAATCACAAAATTTTACCCCACCACCACGAAAATGTTTACGAGCTGACATGACATACACACGTACACAACTGTCAACAGTGGCAATAATAGTACACATGTTCTTGTCAGCCGAAACCAAAACTCTTAGACTAAACATCCTCGCAGTTGGATTACGCACACCTGCCAACTGCGTTTGTAAAAAAGTTTTTTCTGCAAAAGTTGCTCTGTGGAAGTTACAGTAACGCGATGTAGGCAGGTCTCACCTCAATGTTGTCGGAGCCATATATCATGGTGGCGTCCTCCTCGGCGAAACCGATCGCCCCAGAACTCCAACGGTGTGAAGACGGTTGTCGGGGTGTTGACGTAATTAGTGTGGACGGAGCTGGAGTCGAAGAGTCTGGCGGCGAGGAGCCGGCCGGCCTGGATCGCCAGCGGGGTGAGTTCATGCATCCCTCGGACCACGTCCCCGATGGCATAGATGTGTGGAACATTCGTTTGTTCGTACACCACTGGAACATAGCCTCTGTGGGCACACAGGTTTATAGAGACTTACTCAATTGCCACAAACTGTTTCTCGTGTTTTTTTTTTAACCCTTTGGGCGCAGAGGGGCGCCGGAAACGAAGAAAGAAGAAAGGGAGGGGAGAACAGAGGAAGGAGGAGAGAGAGGAGGAGAGGAGAAGAGGGAGAGGAGGTAAAAGGAAAGGGAAGGATGAGGGTGAAGGGGAGAGAAAAAAAGAGGGGGAAAGGAGTAAGAAGGGGGGATGAAGAGGAGTAGGAAGGAGGAAGAGGGAGGAGGTAAAAGAGGGTAGAGGGGGAAGGAGGAGGAAGGGGAAGGGAGAATAAGGAAAGGAGGAGTAGGAGGTGGGAAGAGGGAGTGAAGGAGGAGAGGCAGGGGAGAGGAGGGGAAAGGGAGGAGAGGGGAGAGGAAGCAAGAAACAAAAGAAGAGAAAACAAAGAAGGGAAAAAGAGAGGGGGGGGAGAGGGGAGAAGGGAGAAAAGGATAGGGAGAGGGAGAGGAGGGGGGAGAAGGGGGGTAGAGGAAGAAAAGGAGGGGGAGGGGAAGAAGAGGAGGGAAATAGAAAAGGGGGGCGGGAGATCGGGAGGAGGAAGGGAATAAGGAAAAGAAAGAAGGGAGAAAAAAGAGGAAGAGAAAAAAAGAAGGAAAGGAATGGAAAGACAGGAGAAGAGAAAGGGGAGGAACAGAGAAAGAAAAAAGGGGAGGAAGGAAAAAGGAAGAGGGGGGGGAGGGAGGAAAAAGGAAGGAGAGGGGGGAAGAGGGGGGGAGGGGGCAGAGAAGGAAATGGGGGGAGAGGGGGAAGAAGGAAAGTGAAGAAAGAAGAGGGGGAGGAGAGAGTAGGAGAAAGAGTCAGATAGGGAGAGAAAGGAGGAGGAGAAGAGAGGAGGGGAGAAGAAGAGAGGGGAGGTGAGGGCGAGGCGAAGGGAGAAAAGGATGGAGAAGGAGAAGGGAGAAGAATACAAAAAAATAGGGGGACTAGGGAATACAAAAGGAACGAGAGGGAAAGGAGGGGAGGGAGAGGGAGGGACGGGGTAGGAAAAAAAAGGGGGAAGGAAAAAGGAGGGATGGAGGAAGAGGGGAGGGGAGGAGCGGACGGGAGAAAGGGAGGAAGGGAAAGAGGACAGCGGGAGAAGGAGATGTGGGAAGGAGTGAAAGGAGAGGAAATGGGAAGAGGAGAGGGGGGGAAGTAGGAGGGAAGAGGCGGAGGGATTAAAGAGAGAGAAAGGGAGGGGGGAGGGGGGAGGACAAAGAGAGAAGAGGGGGCGGAGAGGGAAGAAGGAGGACAGGAGGGAGGAGGGAGAGGGGAAGGAGAAGAGGGAGAGAGGAGGAAGGGAGAGAAGGAAGGAGAGGGAGAGAGGGGGAGGTAAGGAGGGGAAAAGGAGAGGGAGGGCGGGGGAGGACGAAAGGAAGAGGATGGGGCACAATAAAGAAAGGAGGTAAAGGGAAGGAGGAGGGGAGGGGAAACAGAGGGAGAAAAGGGGGGAGGAGGGGGAGAGGGAAGAGGAGAAGGGAGCCGGGGGGGGGGGGGGAGGGGGAGAAGAAGAAAGAGAGGAGAGGGAGGAGGAGAGAGGAGGAGAGGAGGGGGAGAAGGAGGAGGGGAAAAAGGAGGGGGGTGAGAGGAAAGAGGAGAGAAAGGAAGAGAAAAAGAAAAAAAGGAAAGAAGAGGAAAAAGGGAGAAGGAGAGAGGAGGAGGCAGAGGGAAGGAGGAGGGGGGGGGAAGGGAGTAGAGGCGAAGGAATGAAGGGAAAGGAAGGCGGAGGGAGACGAGAGAGGGAGAAGGAGGGAAGAGAAGGGGAGGAGGAAAGGGGGGGAAGGATAGGAGAGTGGGGAAGGAAGGAAGGGAGAAAGGAAGGGAAGCAAGGAAGGAAAGGGAGAGAAGAGGGAGAGAGGAGAGGAAAGAGATGAAAAGGGAGGGGGGAGGAGGAAGGGGGGAATAGAGAGGGAGGAGGAGAGGGGAGAGGGAGGAGGGGGAAGAGGAAGGGGGAAGAGCGGGGAAAGGTGCAGACTGCGAGGGAGGAGAAAAAGGGTATGGAGAAAGAAAAATAAGAAAAGAAAAAGGGAGGAAAAAAAAAGGGGGAAAAGGGAAAAAGAAGGAGGACAAAAAAGGGAAGGGGAAAGAAGTGGGAGAGATAAAAGAGGGGGAAGGGAGGAAGGAGAAGGGAGGGAGGAGAGAGGGGTGGAGGAGGTAGGGAGGAGGAGAGGAGGAGGGGCAAGGAGAGAGTAGGGAGAGGGGGGGAGGAGGGGGGGGGAAAGAGGAGGAGAGAAGGGGGGAAGGGGAGAGGGGGGAGAGAAGATGGGGGAGGAAAAGGGGAGGAGAGGAAGGGGGGGAGGGAGAGGGGGGGAGGGAGAAAAGGAGAGGGAAGAGGGGAAAGGGTGAGGGGGGAAGTCGGAGGGAAGGGAGAAGGGTAGAGGAAGCAGGGAGCGAGGGAGGGGGGGAAGGAGGTAGGGTAGGGGAGGGTTGAGAGGTTAGGGGTAGGAAGGAGGAAGATGGAGGGAGGGGGAGGGGAGGGATTAGGGGGGAGAGAAGGAGGGAAGAAGATTATTTATTTAGTAATTTTTTAATATTTTTTTATAATACGAATTTTATTTATCATTATTTTATTGTAGCGCCTAGTATTATAGCCATATATAAATTCTTATGCGGCTCTGTGCATATATAAATGGCGCCCAAAGGTAACAACTGGAGGTCAGAGAACCAGAATGGTCTATCCCGCAAAAGGTATATTTATACCTTGACATGAAATTAGCGGAAGTAACAAGGCTCTACTAACAGTGTCTCCCTCCCCACTAACTTGGCGTCAGTCTTGACCCCTGCCTTCTCCAAACCCAGCCCACCCATGTCAGGATCTCTCCCCACTCCAAACAAAACCGTGTTGAACACTTCGCTCGTCTCCTCTCCCCCCTCGGTCGGGCGGTACGTCACCCGTACCTCCCTCGGGGGACCCTCAGAGACTAGCTCCACCTACAAAACAAAAGACCACACCCACAGGAAGTGACATCATGCAATTGATTGTAATAATATAAGCTGGGTATAATTAGCCTTCGTAAAACCAATAATGCATTGCAGCTAACACTTTACTGCTTGTGCGAAAGACCACTCATTTTACCATAAAAAATTACCATTTTGTCTACCGGGTCAAATAAAGTATTTACAAATGCCGTAAAAGTGTGTATATATATATACCTTTGTTGGAACGTGTTTCATCAGGAATTTCACTTTGTGGTCAGCCATGTACGTCTTGATCAACTCCGCCATTTGCTGGAAAGATGCATGTACAGTGAGCTAATATTAGGGACACCTTGGGCATCAAAATTGTCCTTAATTCCCTTTATATAATATATTACACTAATATATCAGAACCAGGTGTCCTTTATAGGGAAGTGTCTCTATCTTTGGATGGTTATTTTTCAGATTCACTGCATTGGCTCCTTGTGTATATAGCGTTCAGATGATCATTGCGATGTTGGAAAAGAAGAAAATTTTTAAAATCGCATGCTCCCTGCTTCTTCTCACCTGATCGAAACCCCTCAAGAGGATGGAGCGGACCATGCACGTGACGTCAAAGCCCAGCCCCGCGAGGAAGCCGGCACATTCCAGAGCGACGTACGAAGCCCCGACGACCAGGGTCTTCCCCGGCGGAGTCGTCAAGGAGAAGATGTCGTCACTGGAGATCCCGTACTCTTTGGCTCCGGGTATGTCTGGGTAGCGTGGCCTGCCGCCTGGTAAAGTGAAAGACAAAGTGAGAGAGGAGAGAGGACAACAGTGGAAGGACAATCTGAATAAATACATCTCTCTACAAGGTTTGTTCTGCCCCATACTAGTACATTAGTGTACTAGAAGAATGCAGTGTATTATACTACCTCCGAATAAAGGACACCTCTGAATACGGGACACCCACCTGGTGTCCCGTATTCAGAGTTTTCATTGTAAGTTCTACTACGGAGAAGTGGTGAGGACAATGTAATAGAGGTGTGTTTTACCTGTTGCGATGACAATGCGAGCTCCACTGATTTTCCCCTCCACTCCCCTGCTGTTGACGTGCTAATGGGGCGGACATCCTCAACACACACACCCACCTCCACTATATACCCTCCATTCTAATGGAGTCCTAACTAAATAGGTGACTTTGTTCTCATGCACAATGACATCATGCCTATTTGCGTCTGGAGCCGTGGACTATTATTAACCACAGGTCTTTCACACTACTTAATGCATTAAGATTGGAATCTTTTTCTCTTTCTCTCTCCGTCCCTCCCTCCCTCCCTCCCTCTCTCTACTCTCCTCTTACCTTGATGGTATGAGGGTCGACAAACTCGGCGAGAGCGTTCAGATATTTGACCGACTTCTTCCTGAGAGCAGTCCGGTAGCCCCAGTTCAGCGAGGAGATGTGTGCCTGTATGTTCTCAACCATCTTCTCCCACTTGTGGCCCACCCCCTCCGGCACCTCCCAGCCGTAGTGACGCGAGTCCTCCAGAGCATGACCTGACGACACCCGCAAGGAAAGAGACGACATACACATCTTGCATCACTAGACACTTTTTACAGAGTTTACTCACATACTTTAGTCAATTACACGTATTCAATGTTTAATTCCCCCCATTTCCTCTAATTACATTCACGGTGCCCCTATAATTGGATAATTATGCCAGTGAGTACTGACCTAACAACGCTGCTTGATGCATCAGTTTCTTGGGGATGCAACCAACGTTGACGCACGTTCCACCCAGTCCCCATTTGGTTCCAATCGGAGACGGCTTCACGAAATCCAGACACGCGACTTTCGCTCCGAGCGCACCTGCAGCCTGTGTGATGGTGGTATATACCCATTTTTAACCCCACACACACATCAGGTGAATGAATAGTCGTTTACCTTGGCACATGAGAGACCACCTGAACCTCCCCCAATTACAATGATGTCATAGTCGTAAGAGTGGGGGGCAGAGCTCATATTATCTCTCTCCATCTGGCTGGAGACGAGGGTCCGAGCTAGGTCGCCACGGGAATGTATCGCGATGACATCTTTGCAACCGCCGAGGTGTTTGCCGTTGATGAAAACGTTAGGAACAGTTTTCTGTCCTGTAATGTCGTTTAGGACGTCCAGGTATTTTGACATCAGCCCGGGCTCTGCAAAAGTGGGCAGAACGGAGCAAATGAGGGAGGGAGAGAGGAGAAAGAGAAAATCTTACCATTTTTGTCAAGTTCGTCCACACAGACACAAGTAGCGTCACACAGTGGGCCGAAAACAACTTCTTGACCTGAAGGGGAGCAATGTGAAAGCGAATCTGGGGGGAGGAAGCCGGTATAGCTACCGACCCTGGCGCAGAATGGACAGGTGGTCTTGCAGTACATGAGCACGTGCGTGGAGCGTATCTGCTCCTCTATCTTGGCGCGCAGGTCCTCGGCCATGGTGCGTCTCTTTCCAGGCCTGTCCGCGTCTCCGGCCTCTCTAGATCGCTTCGTTTTGTGGCTGGAGATCCTTCTTCTTTCTTGTCGATCGCACATGCGCAAGGGGTAAACGGATGGTGTTTATTCCGTATACCTCCGCGTCTTTTCCGATAACTTCCGTATACCTCAGGTAACTCGGGAAAAACGGAGACCTCGTGTATACAGCTTGCAGCAGCTTGCAGCTAGCTAGCTACACGGATTCTGTGTTCGAAATGAGCGGTGATGTAGCGGCGTCGCCAGCAGAAGATCAGGAGCCGTTCCCTAAAAGGCAGAAGCTGTGCAGCGGCGGGAAAGAAGAGGCGGCCACCAGCGGCGCGCGCACGGAGGAAAAGGGGGACACACCTTCAACTATGCTTGGTGGCCTCGTCTGTAAATTTTTGAAGGAAGCAGACGTTGGAATCACTGAATATGTCAGCCCACAGCCTGGTTTCTTCGCCATCCTCAAACAAAGGTCAAAAACCTTTTAGCGATAAAAATTTACCAGGCGAAGTAAAATATTTTTCAGGTATTCCGATTTTCTTGTGCGAGAGATTTCGGCCAGTGGGAAAGTGGTTAAACTTACCTCCCTGTCCCCTCCTCTACCTCCCGTTGCTACGGGTGATGGAGAGGGGGTGGAGCTAGCTGACGTGTTCTCATCGGCCGACATTGACAGGCTGAGGGAGTTATCCACTGCAAGTGACAACAGTGAATGTATTGAGATCAAGGTAAGTCTTCAAAAATGTTCCTGAATCGGTAGGGTGCAAATGATAATTTTTGCATTGCCCACACATTTTTTGCAGAAAGCTTTATATAGTGCTCACACTTCCATTAGTTCCCCACTATACTTGGCCTAACTCTTCTTCTCGTCTGCTACGTATGCAGGCAGCTAGAGAGAAGGAGAAGAGGACGGCCATGCACAGACTTCTGAAGACACATTTCCCGTCGCTGACCAGCCAGACTGTGGAGGAGGTGGGAGCTGGTGCCTCTGGGGAGGTGGGGGAGGAGGGAGGAGGGGAGAGGGCAATTCGCGTCTGGCACCGTCGAGGTGAGCTCTGAGCTAGAGTCCTGATGCCACGGCCTTTGCAAAAACTGTTCTTGGGGAAAGAAAAGGTGTCCTTGTTAGAGAGGTCCTTAGAGAGAGGTTCTTATAGTTCCTACGTATGTTTAGGATCTCGGGACAGAAGAAACCCCCAGTGGCCTGGAGGGAAGAACAAGTATTGCAGGTTCACTCTCTACAAGGAGAACCGCGATGCAGTGGATGTCGTTAACTACCTGGCCAAACAACTGGGGTATGTGTAACAGAGCGCATGCACACACACACACACACACCACACACACACACACACACACACACACACACAACGGAAATAGTTCCATACACATTTTAGTGGTCCCACAATTCACCTCTTCCTGTTTGTGCCTCTCACATAGAACCCCCCCTCTCTCTCCTTCGCCCTCTCTCCTCTCTCTCTCTCTCTTTCCCCCTCTCTCCTTCCTCTCTCTCTCTCCCCTCTTCTTCACGTTGGCTGAAGGGTAAAGCCATCAGTGTTCCATTCGGCAGGTCTCAAAGATCGCAGAGCCATAACTACTCAACACTACACTGCATTCAAGTGGGGATACAGACGATATTACAGCAACAGTGCTCCCATTGTAAATGTTCATGTACGTAGGGTAAAGGCGGAGAGTCTGCTGGCTATGAATAAGTCACTCGCAAATGTCAAGATTGGCAACCCTGTGTGAGTGTACATTTATTTTTAAAAAGCTGTCTTTCACAACATCACTATCTCCGTATGTATGTAGTATGTAGGTATGTATGAATAATTCTGCATAAATTTTAGTTATGTCGGTGAACCTCTGAAGCTTGGACAGCTCACTGGAAATCACTTCACCATCATTTTGAGGTATGTTTAGTACAACGAGACATTTTGTCTGAAATCAATTTTTGCCGAGAGAACCTTAACAAATATGTCTCCCTTAAGTTTCTGTTAAGAAGCTTGGTCTGTATGTCTGTATGCATGCAGGAGTGTGTCATGTGACGATCATGTGATCCAAGAAAAGATGACATCGTTGAGAGACAACGGGTTCATTAATTACTTTGGCATGCAGCGGTTTGGTACATCCACAGTACCCACCTATCACATCGGCCGGTAAACAACAACAACAACAACACAGCATTGTTTGTGTTTACAATTCTGTTTGTTTACTGTTTACACAGATGTATTCTCCACTCTGACTGGAAGGGAGCAGTGGATGCTATTCTTGCCCCGAGACCTGGAGGTCCGCTAAACCTCGTTCCAAAAATGGTTGTATTTTGCACGTTTGCTAAAACAGTGGGGGGAAAAAGTAGAAACATTTTTGATGTATGGCAAAAATTGCCTCACACACACACAGTGAAATCCACGAAATATTTTTTTCACACTTCTACATTTTCCCACTATAGTTGTTTTGTATGTACTCCGCAGAGCCTGAAGATTTGACGTCGGCCAGGCAGTATTTCATGTCAACCAGAGACGCCGAGGGAACCTTGGAGAAATTCCCCAGGGGGCGCCCCCTGGAAAAGGCCGTGCTGAAGGGATTGGTTCAACGCCAGGGGCCAAATGATTTCCTCGGAGCTCTTAAACGAGTCAGTTTTTAATTCACTAAACACTCAAAATTCGAAGGTTTGTGGGATTACAATCCCACGCAGCACAGATTGCAATTCCATTTCATCCAGACTTATACATACACTTGTGTCCAGGTTCCGTACAGCTCTCGGCTGATGTACGTTCACAGCTTCCAGAGTCTGGTCTGGAACAGAGTCGCCACTCACCGCATCCGACTGCACGGTCTCAGACCCATTCCGGGAGATCTGGTACTGGGGAATGGGAACGGGCCGCTGACGGTTACCGAGGAGACGCTCTCTCGGTACACCATACACGACGTTCTCTTGCCTCTACCTGGACATGACGTGACCTTGCCTGCTAATGATAGTGAGAAGTTCCAATAGTTTTTGTGATTTATTTCATGAATTTGGGGAAATTGTGATTTGCCGTTCATAAAATTTTTGAGACAGTCACCAAATTTATTTAGTACTGACCTCAAATATTTAAACAGCTATATGACGTAAAAGTTGTTTTTTTCCCACACGTATAGTAAAGAATTTGTATGAGTCAATACTGGCAGAAGACAACCTGACATTCCAACACCTCAACCATAAAGTGAGGTAAGGCACCAATACCCCTTCCCTCCCACTGTGTCTCCATTGCTATATATACTTACATGTATATATACATTAGGGACTTCACTCTTCACGGCAGCTACAGAAATATAGTTGTGAGGCCGAAAGATGTCGAGTGGTGAGATAATTATTATATAATTTGTAGGAAACTTTGTGAAATAGTAATGCCCACATATTGCTCGTGCAATCAGATCTCTCAACGGGAGAAAATGTTCACATATCCATCAAATTTCATACAAAGTTTCCCTATTCAAGATTCATCCTTTATGTTACTGTTGCTGGCTCTGTAAATGACCATTCTTGGTTCATTACACTCAGGGATGTGGTGAGGTATGACGACGTAACAACTCCACTTGCTCTGACAGACCGCGATGAACTCGAGGACAAGCCACCTCCACAGTCTTTGGAAGGTTGGACTGGCCTCGAATCACCTCATGAACCGTGCCTATCTCCTGCCCCCTTCTCTCTTTCACTTTCTTCTTACAACACACACACACACACACACAGGAGGTCAGTACAAGGCCCTTCGGATGAGTTTCTCTCTACCCACAGCCAGCTATGCCACAATGGCAGTAAGAGATCTGGTCAAAATGGAGACCTCATCTCACTACCAGACACTGCTCATGAACACGCCACTCCCCATCTCCACCCCAAACTCTCCACCCACTAACAATGACTAAAATTGATACCAATTGCATTTCAATTTTACTTGTTCTCGAACTGTGTAAATAGAGTGTTCAATAGTGTGTGTGTTATGGGGCTGAAGTGAGGGTGACCACGCCCACTGGGAGGAGTCTGGTAATGAAGAATTCAGATCTCCAGCAAAGTCACGACTGCAAAGGAGAAAGTAATGGCTACAGAGTCACTCAATATTGCAATTTTTCTGATTTGGTGCTAATAGTCCCCCCCATTGCAATCACTTATAATCTGCTATATATATACTCAAAAGTAAAGAACACCTCTGCAATTTCCATGGTCCCATTACTCTGTCCTCTATTTGGAGGTTCCCCTTTGGACAGTGTGTATATAGGAGAGGGAGAACTTGCCACTGAGGGGCTGAAGAGAGGGGAAATGGAGGAGGAGGGAGGGAGAGGAGGTGGAGGAGGCTGCAGAATTAGATTTGTCTCCTCGGTCGGAACAGGAGGATTGGCGACTGAGTCCTGCAACATGGTCCTCTGGCCGGCCACACTCGGTGCAACTGTCTTCTCCACTTTCATATACTGCACAGTTAACATTGACACCACGCGAGTGGAGAATGATGAGCATGCATACACCAAAGGATCACGACACGTAATACTGGCAAACCTGCTAGGAAGAACTATCGACAAAACTTTACAAAATGCTGTATGGTCACTACCTACAAAGCCTTCACAACTGGATATATATAAACTGCCCACTCAATAGTATCCTCAGCATGTATGGCAATAATAATTATCACGAGCCTCTCTGGTTTTCTGGAGGTATAGTTTCATTGGCTGTATGTAGTTGTCAAAGCCGAGGTTTGCCATGGCAAAGAGAATGTCGTCTCCGGTTAGCGTCTTTCTCTTCTCCTGTGAGCACCGATCAGCCGCTCTATAGATTACATCATCGTGATGTCATTGAAAATTGTCGGTGAGGTAATGACTTACTCGCTGGTTATGAAACTGACAAATTCCGACACGCATTCTTGCATGCATTCCTTTGCATCTTTAGACACCTGTAAACAACAACAAAAACAATAAACAACAACAGAAATTAGGGCTCCACCCACTTTCCCGTTGCGGGGGATTGCATTCCTCATCACCCGGGAAACGTTGTTGATGGGCAGGAAACGATCCTGCTCGCGGTAGACAGTGGGTGTGGCTTTCTTCTTGGGAGAGGTGTGGTCTTCCATGGGGAACTGGAACCGTAGGCTCTCGGGGTCAGAGGTCACTCCAGCTGCCGTGCCAATCACCCCACTCAGCTCTGGGAGGTCAGGTTATGAAATTGCATTTCGGCAAATTTTGCAAATCTGTATGTTCTCGCGATAATAGTGACAGAATGGGTATTCACAACAGCTATTTCACAGAAATGAGTGCTATTAACCAAACTTTACTTCTTCTGTGCCTAAACTCCTATTACGAAGAAGAAATGTGAGTGTATAAGCACATGCAACCTTGGCAGAAAGCAGCTATATGCACTGCATGGCACACAGCTACACACCTTCACTGGTGAATGGAGTTGGCTGCAGTACGGAGCCCAGTGCAGCGTCTGAATGGAGCTCCGAGAGAACGTGCGTCACGTCAGCAGCACTAGGCGGCCCTGCCACTGGCACCGTCACCACTTTACCCCCTCCCTGTAACCCAACCATCCCCTGGACCTCCACCGGGGGCCCGGCGCCACCGCCCAGCAAGAGAGCTCCTTCTGCGGTAGTAGCGGCTGCTATTGAACTCCCGGCTTCGCCCAAACCGCCACCGCCGCTCATGTCTGCAGACCGCGTTGGAGGACACAATGCACCGAGGCAATGACATAGCTACTAGCTAGCTAATTCGGTAAAAGTTGCCGGCCAACAGAGAAATTTGTAACAATGGGCGTGCGCACATGCCCCCTTCCATCTCTCGCTACGCTCAACCACGCCACCATAGAGATTGTCCGTCCACAAAGCCGCTCGTGAGAGATAAGAAAGAGAGAGCTTTGCCGCGAGCGGTCACTCCCGTTTTATACCCGCCGACCTGATATGCCGCTAGGCGAGAGAACCAATCACATCAGAGAACTAGAGACAACATCATCTTCTCGACAACCAATGAGATCCATCCGTAAGAATTTACGGACACCAGTATTCCTCCGTTTATTTCCCACAGCGTAAAACATCGTATACGTCATTCGTATATTTTGCTGATTCAGCACACACCGTATACCAGCTCCGTGTATTTTGCTGATTCAGCACACACCGTATACCAGCTCAGTATATTTTGCTGATTCAGCAACCCACGATGCAACTGAAGGTGAAGCTGCTGAAAGGAGGGAGAGAGGAGGTCGTTGAGGTAGTACACCGAGCCTCTCCTGTCACGTGACAAACTCTCTCTCTCTTGTCCATCACTAGGTGAAGGATGGATCAGTGAGCGTGTTGGAGCTGAAGACCGTTCTGCAGGGGCTGTTCCAGATACCAGCAGGGGAGCAGTCCCTTGTGATGCGGGGTAAAGCTCTACTTGGTGAGCAACTTAACACAATACAACCCAAACACAATGTGTGTAGGGAAGGTTTCAGGACTATAGTTTCCTGCGTTTGTCTGTCACTCAGATTCCAGTAATCTTGACAGCTATGGGGTAAAAGACGGGACCAAACTCTTCCTCACTCACAAGACACACACGGGGGCCACGCCCACCTCGGAAACCACGCCCACTGCCACCGAGGAGCACATGGAGACCGGCGAGAGAGTAGTCCTGACAGTCAAACTGTTGCAGGGAGGGGCAGAGAAACAAGTTGAGGTGGGTTTAACATAAATAGATGCGCTCGACTTTGTCTCACAATCAGCGTCTTTTTTGTCCACTTTTTTTCTACTTTCACACAAAAAATAGTGAAAATATGTGAACTGAACTAAAGCGTCTTCTTGATGCCCGAACGGTTGTAAAATACGACCCAAACACAATGCTGTAGACTAAAACTACTGAAGCTCTAGTTGTTTGAAAAATAAGACTGTGTTGCAGCAAATTTCCTAAAAAGAAGCAGCTCTGAATGTGTGTGCAGGTAGCAAGTGAGGAGGTGACAGTTGGGGAGGTGAAGAGGCTCGTCGAGGCAGAGTGCGGTGTCCCAGCCCACCTCCAGTCTCTGGTTGTGGAGGGAAGAGCTCTCGAAGGTTGGTACGACACTGCTGTGTTTTACGTGGCAGTTTCTGTTTCAAAATGCACAAGTTCTGTGGTTGTGCTATGTCTAGATTAGCTACTCTCATTTTCTCTCCTCCTTATTCTCCTCCTTTATTCAGACTCTCACAGATTACGTGACTACGGTATCAAATCAGGCGACAAGCTATTTCTAGCGCAGAGATCTCCCCCCTCTCCCTCCTCCTCGTCCTCACACCCTCACCCTCCCTCCTCCTGGACTAGGAGATCAGAGTTCTTCGATCGCATGCAGACCTATCTCACCCGACACTTCACTGAGGAACAGGCTGTGCTGATTGTCTCCAAAATGGAGCAGGTACCATACATACACCATGGAGGGAAAGAAACTGGATTTTACAGTGAAACCTCGTGAATAAGGGGACAAATTTCTGCCCCTATTATTATTATTATTGTTACTGCACTCTAGCTGTTATCTCTCTCTCTCTCTCCCTCTCACTGACAGCAACTAAGGAGACAGGTGTATGAAGTCAACCTGGACAGTATTGAGGCTCTGGCAGCCACAATTCTATTGAAAATGTATTAGCTGTTTGCTCATAATAATGATCATTGAAAAAATTTTGTGGCCCATCAAATTTTTTGAGGTGCTCAATAGTAATCTGCACAAGCATGTTGTCACGAGTTGTGAAATTTTAAATTTCAGGTAGACTTCTCCAAAACATTTTTGACTGTACTCTGTACAAAATGTGGTCTAACATGCAAAAAATGACGGATACACTGATGAGATTCTTAAAAATGATGCTGACATTATCGCATTGTCTCGATCGTGCATGCTGTGAATGACTGAGTTCCGTGTACGAGAGTTTGCACTAGAGGTCAGTGATTTCATCGAAGCAGCCCGGATGGCTGACCCATATCTTCCTGACCAGCTCCTTGTCCGGGAGGCTCTCCTCTCCCTCCTCCTGCGAGATCCTGTTGAGGACCACCGTGATCTCCTTCTGTCTGTGGCCGTGGGACCTGTAGTCTGTACTCCCCACCAAACGATACAGCAGTTCCAGATAGTGGCCTCGAATCTAGGGTGAAGAGAGAATTTCACATTACATCATGGTGAACATTGAATTACTAGAAAAAATGCAGAGCATGCGGCACATTAGCACACTATAGCCACTATGTTGGCAGGTCTAAATTTGGTGATTAGCAACCAAGGGAACTGCTACGTTTAAGACAATTGCCGTATTTTCCAAGATGATGTCATTATGATGTAATAGTAGTGTTGTTTGTTGGTGCCCCGACCCACCTGGTCGCCCGGGGCAGAGGTCACTGATCTGGCGGAGGACGATGTCGATGAGTACCATGAGGTCGGTGGTGTAGAACATTCCGGAAGTTTCCGGAGAGGAGAATACGTCGAGGGCAAACTTGGTGAGTGAGTCTGGACAGAGTGGGTCCAGGAGAGCCACTGGGTCATCTGGTGGTGGTTGGGGGAAGAGAATGAACTTTGGTGTTGCAATCCAGTTGAGGCATGCCAACATATTCACAGTCTATATGCAGTGACCATATACTCTACTCATTTTTGATTTTTCTGTAACCAACACCATGTGTGGCCTATATAGTATAAAAGGCAGTTAGACCGGGCAGAGCTTGTTTTGGAAGAGAGATAGAGATATTTTCACATCGTGTTGTCCAGCTCTCACAAGAAACGCGCAGGCTCAACTACGTCCTAAGCGCTACATAATTATATACCATACCTCCTCGGTTGATGAGGAACATGAACTTCTCGCTGAAATGTCTCGGATCCTTCTTCGTCTTCAGGACACTCATCACTGGATTCGTCTCTGGATCTGCGAGAGGCAGCACACTCACAGTTAGCCCCGCCCATCGACCACACCCACTCGGCTCACCTGAGAAGTGTTGGTTGAAGGAGAGAAGGACGTTGAGGAAGGCGTCGGGCAGCTGTTCGTCTGTGTCTTGTTCAGGTGGAGTCTCAATGGTGTCCAACAGGAAGGAGATGTACTCCTCGTTCCATTGGTCTGGAGGAAGAGGAGGAAGAGAAGAGATTTTATGATTTTCAATACTCTTTAGCGCGCGTCTTATGTTTTTGGAGCAGGTGCGTATTATTGTGGTGACTTGTTCAAAAATGTTATCTACAATACCCGTTGAATATGTTTTGTCGAAATTTTGGAGAAATCAGTCTCAAAATCATCAATTTTTCAAACACTGGAGGCACACTCCATACAAATTAAGTAAAACCGGTCAAATTACTTGCATTATCTTGCCAAAATGTGCTCTAGTAGAAACGTACCATAGACGGTAAGAGGGACGGGCTCTCCAGTGGAGAAGATCATGGTACACACAGTACTGGAGTACAGTGTCTTCTCAATCTCTGGAGATATAGACAGACCATTGGTACAATGTGTAATAGTGGGAAAGTATGTATATACCTGTAATATGTACGTTGGCAAGAAAACAGAGATAAAAGTATAGCTAAAGTGCCGATTTCTCAACAGCAAGCTGTCAAACCTATTCACTGCACATTAGTAAACTCAAGGACACTTAGTAAACTCAAGGCACATTAGTAAACTCAAGGGCACTTAGTAAACTCAATGAGAGAGTTACTACGAAATGTTTTCATGCGCCAGTACGTACTACAATCCTGTGAGATGGAAGCTAAAGAGAGAGGGAAGAGTTGAGTTACAGCTGTACGTACATACGTATGTACCTGTAAGGCGGTTGTTGATGTCTCTGCCGAGCTCATTGGGGAGAATGGAGCTGAGGAAGATGCTGATGATCTCTCGGTCCATCCCACAGAGGACACCAAACACCTGCAGCATCAGGAGTCGGATCGGGATCCGGGACTCGATGTCGTAGTAGCCGATGAGTGTCAGAATGTTCTCGTACTTGTCTTCCTTCACTGCCGCCCTCGTGACCTCTTGGTCCGCGTCACACTGTGCGGGGAGTGGGGGGAGGGGGGGGGAGAGAAGATGGGACTGTTGTAATCTGGTGCACTGGTATATACAATAGAACAAATTGGTGGGTGAAGAGAGCGTACCTATTTGTCTGAATGCAGATTTTATGCGGCACTAAACATACCGTAATATTTTACGTTCTCCTAAATACGAGCGCGAAAAAGTGAAATATTAGCATTTGCTTGCCAAAAATGCGTTGCATCTCTCATTTCCAAAGTTGCAGTATGCACGGTTGCACCACATAACTTCCCCTCCCTCCCTTCCCTCCTCTCACCAGAATCTGGAGGAGTTCAGACAGGTACTCCATGATTACTCCGAGGTCATCGTGGACTGCCCAGCCCCTCTGCTGCGAGTCCTCCCTCACATCTCTCAGTTGGAAGAATATCTCCTTCAGTCGCGCAGTGTCCGCACTGCTGTCCACCTTTCGAGCGCTCGAGGGAGACGTGTTAGCCTGCGGGTGTTGCAAAACAGGCTTTGCTCCAAGCTGTTGTTTGTTGAAGGAATATGGCATGAAATTCCATTTTTAGTAACATTTTTAAATTTAGTCCTCATGAACCGACACATTCCCTTTAATTCACTGTACGATTATTGTACCTGTGAAGCGTGTACAGCTGAGAGAAGAGCGCCCATTGTAGCACCGCAGGAGTCCGGGAGTTTATCCCTCAATATTTCCAACACACCCTTCACTGCCTCTACTGACTTGGCATACGACAGCTGCGTTCTGTACACGATAAATATGGTCTGATTTTTGTCGCGTCAATCTATCCCTTCTCACAAAAATGTTAAATGTCGCAGAACCAATCCATACATACATACATACACTCTCAAACCATCTACATAACTACTTCGTATTTCTTGACAGATAGTTCTACAATCTCTCAAACTATGCACAGCACAACATACGGTTGGCTTTAGCAGCAGTGCTAAAACTATAAAGCTTACACACACGCATATATAGCTCTTTTATCCGACGTTCAGCTAACACACATGCAGTTTCATTCTGTGCCTGACCTTGTCCGGACTACTTCTATCAAGTCTGCGCCGTCCGAAGCAGGGAACTGGGTGGGGAGGGGTGTGGTCATGGGTGTGGCAATCTCGGGAAGAGCGGTGGTTGAGACGGTGCGTCGCTGAGTCAGTGGCGACGTCCTCGGACTCAGACCTAGCCAAAGAACGAGCAACGACGACGATGAGAGAGAGAGAGAGAGAGAGAGAGGAGTCATGTGACACGTGAAACTATTGTAGCTCCAACAAAAGAAACAATCGTTTGGTATTGAAGCAACACGTGTTCTGCTACATGCCTACAATATGTGCAAAAAATGGTCCAAATCACAAAATTTTAGCGGGCGCACACAATTATGATGTACACACCACTTGCAAAACAGTATTACAAGGTATGTAGTGCAACTCAAAATGTTTCGTAAGCACAAAAAATTTGGTACTCCAGGTAAGAGTTTTTTTTTAGAGAAATGAAGTGTGGAGGAGGAGGTCACCTGGAGGGAGTGTTATCTTTTTCTTTTCCTCGGGAGTGCCGGCCGACGACGTTCTGACTGGAGCAGGGCGCCGCGGCTGGTGTGACGGAGACGAAGGGGGCGGGGCCACCGTGTGGGAGGAGGAGCCAGCTGCCACTGGGTGGTGATGGATGTCGAAAGACTTGCTACGACTTGCCGCTGACTTCCCTGGACTCTCCTGTGGGGGTGGTGTTTAATACTTAGACTTCTGGAGTTGATGTATATACAACTTGGACAGTGAGTCTGTGGAAATCAACTCGGCCACTTGCACTGTCGAATTTTGAGGATGCTACGAGAGGACTGCCAATGCAACAAGCCAAATTTTTGCTGCAGGCACTTAGTATAACTTACACACTATGAGATTGATTTCACGTGTGAACAAATTAGAAGTCACATGACCCTCACCTGACTGGGCAGAACAGTGAGAGAAGACGAAGAGGTCGAGGAGAGAGTTCTCTGGACGCCATGGCCTCCAGTCTGCTCCGACACCCTCCTCCTCCCCTGCTGCTGGTGGTGGTTGTGTTGCTGTTGATGATGAGTCTTCTGAGGAGACGACGGATTCGACTGCTGGGGGGAGGAGTGAGGTGTCCTGGTTTTTAACGGAGAGGAAGACGGTGAGGGGACTTTCCCTGCACTCGGAGGTCGCGAGGTCGAGCTCGCCGCAGCTGTCCCCGTGTGGTTCTGGATTGGGACCAAGCTGGGCTGGGAGCCGGACCGGACTCGACGCACCGCGGACATTGCGTGCTGCGGCTGCGTCTGAGAGCGATCGCGAAGACCAGCAAAATCCTGCAATGTTGTCTGATTATTGCTTCCCCCAACGAGATCTTCACGAGAGCGACTTCCCTTCATGTTGTACTTCGACCGGCGAGGGAGAGAACTGAAGTGGTCCGCTCTCAGGGGTGTGTGGTTTGTGGGCGGAGCCGGGGCCTTCCTCCGAGGGCGGGGACTAGAATGTGCGGTAATGGGGTTAGCAGTGGTAGCTCCTCCATTTACAGTCAGTCCTGCGTGGGATGAGTGAGTGAGGGAGGGAGAGGGGGTGGCGTTCTTGTGGGAGTGTGATTTCGGTGAGGGTTGCTGGTGATTGTTTGCAGTGTGCTGCTGGGTTAGGGAGCTGCTTTCTTCGACCACACTCTTTCTGTGGGTGGCTAGTTGCCTGGGGAGAGACGGACGGCAAAGGAGAAGAAAACAACGATAAGAAATCAGACAGAAAAGGAGAGAGAGAGAGAGAGAGAGAGAGAGAGAGAAAAGAGAGAGAGAGAGAGAGACACTCACTGCAGGGCAGCTCTCTGCTGAGAGGTGTAGGTGCCTCCCTGTAGCGTGGCCTCGTCATGGATCTTCTGCATTGCTCTGTCCACTGACAACAGAACCTCTGACAACGCCTGTAGCAGCACACCACAGGGATAATTCAAAACTTGAGTGGATGAATTGCCCCCAAAATGGACAGTGTCTATGCAGCACACACCTATCAGACAGTTGACACACACACACACACACACACACACATTCAAAGAGACATAATCAAATCATTTCTCAATCTGGACTTGATTAGCGAGCAATGAATCTAGTTCCCCAGGGCACACGGCTACATACAACGTGATATGCAGCAGGCCAGCAGTGAGTGACATGTACGAGATATGAGACTCGCCCTGGTCTACCTACTATTGGCAGTGATGAATACGATAGCTGGGAGGCCAAAAGGTGAGTCCATCCTTCAAAGAAGCACAACAGAGATCTAACACTAGCACACTTACAATACACACACAACACGTGCCCGCGCATTAGGTTTACATATTACGCATGTTATACAGTAATTGACATATTGAAGTGGATTCCACTGCTCAAAGAAAGGAAAATGGTATGCGGATTATCGAGGTTCAGTGACCATGTGAGTTTTATGGCGTGTCGAAGAAAGTATTTAGGCAGCCATAAAACATACAGAGTGAAGTATTATACTGTACTGATGGGGTCGGTCCAATGTACTAATACCATCTCTATGACTCAGTGTATGTAACAGTATGGTAGTGTATGTAACAGTATGGCGTGGGTTATGGTGTGTGTACATGTTGATAGTTGGCAGAGGCAGGCAGGTTGGGGACCCCCTCTGGCCGGGAATGGGCAGATGCAGCCAGCTAAAACATTCTAATATCACACTACAAACCCACCATACACCACACACTACCCTTTCAGTGCTGTATATACCTGACACAAACAAACAGAATAGCTATATACCATCGCACGCACTGGGCATGGAGCTAACCCATTGTACAACACCTGATGTAGTGTAGTGTACATCTGAGCCCTGCCTGCTGTACAATTAAGAAAGAGCCGATCTTCCTGAAATGCAGTGCCAGGTGGGTTCAAATCCCACCCCCAGTGTATGTGGGTTTTACTTTCTTTGGGGGGAAAAAACTAAAACCATTTTGGGTGTATATTGTTTTGCCTTCGTTTTGCAACCTCGGTGTTAGTGAAAATGCACACCGTTTTGCACAAAATAAACGCCATCTTTCCCGGCCTTTATATCCCATGGCAAGGTCCTACTACAATACCTAATACTCTCTGCATTAGGTATATAGTAGATCGCAAACATTTTCACCTGTGTTTGTGAGCATATTGCTTGCATTCCTACAATTGAGGTATTTCCAGCTGGAATGAGAGGTTGACTTCGACACAAACAACACTAACCTCGTTTTCTCCCACACCGTCGTGGGGGTGTGGCCTCGTGTCACCATGACTACCGGACGTCGTGGTATCCCCGGGAGTGTTGGTAGTAGCTCCGCTGGTAGTGTGGGCGGGGCTAGTGGCTGTTTCCACGGGAACGTCGATGTAATTGAGGGGGACGTAGCCGGAGAGACCGGTTGCTAGGGACTTCATTGTCCACCAGGAGACGTCGGTTTTAGCCTCCAACTTTAGCTAGGGAGGGAGGGTGGAAGGTTGGTGGAGGGGGAGGTATAATATGTACATGTGTAAAAAACACAGCCACAGAACACGGTTTCTATAGGTAACCATGTACATGTGCATCAGTGTGTACAATGTGGGTGAATAAAAGAGGGTGTAGGGATGGAGTGAGGGGAAGAAAGGAACAGGGAAAAGCAGAGGAGAAAGATGGAGAGTTCAGCAAACCTTCTCTCCTCTCTGGAAGCTCAGCTGAGTGCCGTCCTGACCAGTGAAATCGTACAGAGCCGTAAATACACCTCCGACCCCTCCCCCACCCCCTCCGTCCGTCTCACTCTTGTCCTAATGTGAAAAAAGCCGTCCTGATAACTCGTCCTGATTCACAGAGGTGTCCTGAATTCAGTATATACCTCTAGTAGTTCGAGGTAGGATACAGGCACGAGTCCAGTGGCCCCTTTTTCACTCTCGACTTCCCACCAATCGTCATTTGTCTTTTTCTTCACGGTGAATTTGTCCCCGCAGCGAAACGAGAGCATGGCACTGGAGGTGTTCTTGTAGTCGTAGACTGCCTGGTAGGTCGCCATGGCTACCTCTTCTAGCAGCTGTGTCACCGCTGAAAGATTGCAGAGGGAGAGAGTGTGTGGTGTGTGTGTAGCTAATGGTGGACTCGCATTTTTGTACGAACTTACAAGTTAACAAGGCACACGCCGCTGGCAGAGAGATCAAGACGACACGCACACCCTCGCTGCTCTAACAGCTGCAAACAGCAGCCGGTCGTCAGTTCCTCTGCTCTGAACAGTCGCACAGACTCCACTTTTCCCGCGCTCCTCCAAACACACCGTCCACTGTACGATCCCACAGCCGCTCTCTTCCGCAGGTACAGGCTAGTAGACTGCCAGCGGAGCGAAGAAGAGAGATGAGAAAGAACACTACGGACCGATCGCCTCCCTCACACTGGCAGAGAAGCAACAGGGCGTGCATATGCGTGCGCGGAATTCCGATGACGTCAGCACTATGCAGCAGCGCAGCAGCAGCTCAGCAGCAGTTCTTCGGCTTCACTTTTTGCATTGCTAAATTCCATCAATATGTATATACAACGTTCTGACAATATGAGTGTTTAATGGTGTAAAAAGAGCTAAAGTTTCAGTAGATCTGCAGCTAGCTGCGACTGTGCGCGTAGTTGTGGACTAGAAAGTTGAGTTGTGTTCTCCACGCCAGTTTCAGACAGCTCTGGATCTGTGACTTGAAGTGTTCCTTTGCCTCGTCTTCTGTCCGACCGAGAAAGAGGACACCGCGGAGGTACTCGATGTCCTCCACACTCCGCAGCTCTGGAATACCCGTACACTTCATCTGGAGAGGAAGAGAGAGAGAGGAGAGAGAAGAGAGAGAGAGAGAGAGAGAAGAGGAGAGAGGAGAGAGTTGGAAGAAACAGCGAGAGAGAGAGAAGAGAGAGAGAGAGAGAGGAGAGAAGTTGGAAGAAACAGCGAGAGAGAGAGAAGAGAGAGAGGAGAGAGTTGGAAGAAACAGCGAGAGAGAAGAGAGAGAGAGAAAGAAGATGACAAGAAAGAGGAGAGATATTCTGATTTCAATTGCGAAGAGAGAGATAAAGAAAGAGCAATCTGCTATACCATAGAGAATAGATTGATGAAGAGGTTAGCGTTGCGTCGAATGACCATGTATGCCTCAAGAGCCGTCTCCTCAAACCTCTTGAACAGATCAGAGCCCTTCGTGGGGGAGAGGGGAACAGGAGGGGAAGTAACAAAACCAAAAATGAAAGGGGCCAACTCACTCTCTTTCCCATGACATATTCAAAATCAGGAGTCAGTACAAATGGAGCCCTTCTCTGTTCACTCCCTAAATTACATAAAAGCTATCACAAAAAATGGTAAGAGATTTTTTGTGTATATACCATGAATTTTTTCTGGTTTCCGAGGAAGTGTCCAAAGTCAATGTGGAACAGGTTGCCAGATGTGGTGACCATGATGTTGTCATTGTGCCTGTCTCCTATCCCCTGTGTGTGTGGTCACATGATCATCACATGACTTCATGTGATCTACGGATGACATCATCACTTTACCAGAATGTAGGTGGCGACGCAGTAGCCGGCACACGATAGCATGAACCGCTCCACGGCACCGTCCCACATGTTCTTACTGCACAGAGAACGAGTCACATGACAATCATGTGATCAGTACACACAGTCATGTGACTTACGTCTGGTTGAACCCTCTCAACCAATCATGAAGGGGCTCCTCTTTGAACGCTGAAAAGCTACCGCCATGTTTCTGTTGAATCTACAGACACAAACACACACACAGCAATCATTTGTAGCAATTCGTATCGTTATGGAGGGTAACTGCGGAGACGAATGGTTGGTTACCTTGGCGACAGTGTCGGCCTTCTGTACCACTTCAATCATTCCCATCATGTTCCCGGTTGCTACGCAACCATAGGGAATGATGTACAGGTCCAGGCCTTGGGACTGCCAGAGCTGAAGAGAAAATAGTATCTGTGTAAATCAAATTTATAGCTGAACATTCACAGCTCAAAGCTCATCCAACAAAAATATGCAGGAAATTTTATGTGTAGGGTTGTGCAGTTAGGTAAGTATGTGAAAAAGTTTCCACGAAATTTCCTACGAACCAGCAAAAATTTTCCTTCCTCGAAAATTTTTTGCCATTACTGTATATCCCCGAACCTTGTCCATGAGTGAGAGCATTTGAATGGTCAGCATGTCCTGTCTAAGGTCGTCTCCGTGCTTGGCGATGACCTTGATCAGCTGGCCTCCGACCGCTGTCGGATCTTTACTCTCAAATTCCAGCCACAGCGGAGACTACAGGTAGTGGGAGGGGCCAGTGAGATCATATGACTCTCACATGACACATTACTGCAGCGTTCACCTTCTTGGAGTCCATTACTTTACACTTTGCCAGGTTCAAATTGCCCATTTTTACACTGGACGGGGAAAATTTTGGACACCCATGTAAAATTTTGTGAATGCACGTAAAAATTTTCCTGTCTCACAGGGGATTGAAGGGAGGACAGAAAGTTTCCGGGAGTTGATATTTGGCCAATTCAGCTCTCGCAAACTCCACCACAGCCTTCCCCTTCTCCATGTTCCTCTTTAGCTGTAGCCAGTGGGTCATGTGAGAGTCATGTGACAGTCATGTGATACACTGGCTTACCCGAGAGGCCACGGACATGATGTCGCAGACTGCCTTGTGCTGGGCCTGGAGTTCCTTCTGTACTCATTTCATAGAGAGTGAGAGAGAGGAAGGGAGGAGAGATGGAAAACGTTAGCAAGCAAGTACATACACCCATGAAAATTTGCAAATGTGCGTGCACCTATGGTAAATTCTTCCTCACAATTCAGACAGGGAAATTGATGATGTAATAATTTTGAAGTGGGCGGAGTTGATAATTACGTACAAACATGCTCTCTCCACATCCCCTGAGGTAGGCCTCCAGGAGGATGCTGAACCTCTGGTTGAACTCTGGGGTGTCCATCTCTGAGCGGAGGTACCAGTAGAAGAAATGACCGATCTTCTTGCTCTGGAGAGCTCTCTTCAGCAGGAGTCGCGCCAGGGCGCTGTCGTGATAAGACTCAAACTTCAACACCTGGGTGATTCACCACGTGTAATAGGGGTAGAGAAGACATCCTTATTCTGGTAGTCGTGGAGCAAAATAGTTTGACTATTGGAACTATTGGGACCATTCTAGTTTGACATTGGTGTAAACCAATCTCTAGGCCCAAAATTGTGCTATGTATGAGCACTTGCACCATTGGAGCAACTCTAGTGCAAAAACTGGACCACGTCTGCAGCCTCTAATCCCAATTGGTGCCCACCTAATCCACTGTTACATAAGTCACGTTCTAAAGAGCCAGAGAAGAGAGAGCCAGAGAAGAGAGGTGTGTACCTGTGTCAACTGGAGAAGAAAGAGCATCAGTTCTTCGTTGGTCAGTTTCTCCAGACGGTGCACCGCGAGGCTCCGGATCTTGTCGTCAGCGAAAAGTGGTAGTCAAGTAGCTCCAGAGCCACCTCTAGAGTGATGGGTGCCCATACCTCCAGCAGTCTGACAAGAATTCATACACCATTATTGCAGATAATTTTCAAGCAGTGATAGTTCTGCCCTATATAAATTTGAATGCCATCACGTGTACTACCTGTTAAAATTGCAAAAAAATTGCACATGATCACTAAGCCACCAAATTAGAAAGTTCTGTGTCTGTCATAATGTATATGTTACCTGTGGATCTCAGAGACCTGAGCTAGATCAGCCCAGTTGATGCTGCGCAGGAGCTTCGGGAGCGCCTGCGGGACGTGGGAGCAGTAACTGCGGCAACTCCACACCAGCTCCTTCTGCGCCTTCGTCAGCTGGAGAGAGAGGTGGAGACCACACCCACCTGGTTAGACCACACCCACAGTAGGCCCCCCCCCGCCTCCTGACATACCGTGGTGAGAGGGTCGGCATTAATGACAGTATCCAGCTCCTCTTTCATCTCCTTCCTCGGAGTGGTCTCTGGTTGTCTGGGAAGAGAAACAACTTCGTCTCTCAATTTCCTCCTTCACACTAACTCTCTTTTCTCTGTTCTTTCATTCTCCCCCTTCTCTATTTCCCGGTGGTGTCTTCCCAACAGATTGCGCAATACAGCATCCTACCATCTGAAGCTTTGGTCTACCAGTCGTGACATCACAAAACACCCATTCTATTTATAGTAACCTGATTAGATCGTCCCTATAAACCCTTGCTTTCTCTCTCTTTCTCCCGCACTATTTCTCTCTACTTACATCGATCGCTCCTCCCCCCAGCCTCCAGTGGGACATGCCACCGGATGCATATACGTTTCCAACTCAATGTACAGAGCCACTGAAGTGTTTCCGTCCGGGTTAACGGCCGTCGACCCCATGGGGGAGGGGGCGGAGCTTGTCATCCCGTCACCCGCGACGACGGGCCACAAATTCAACCGCAGCAACCCCTGCCTCAGGAGAGCCCTGAGAAATGAAAAATAATACGAGTGATTGTGGAGATAAAGGTGGCCTAAATTGTTTGTAATTTTAGCAAGCAAGTGGGGGGAAGGACAGGCCAACCAACCATCCTGAATACCTTGACTATAGCTGGAGAGTGCAGTGAAAGAATAGGGTGGCCTAAATTGTTTGTACTTTTAGCAAGCAAGTGGAGGGAAGGACAGGCCAACCAACCATCCTGAATACCTTGACTATAGCTGGAGAGTGCAGTGAAAGAATAGGGTGGCCTAAATTGTTTGTACTTTTAGCAAGCAAGTGGGGGGAAGGACAGACCAACCAACCATCCTGAATACCTTGACTATAGCTGGAGAGTGCAGTGAAAGAATAGGGTGGCCTAAATTGTTTGTACTTTTAGCAAGCACATGGGGGGAAGGACAGACCAACCAACCATCCTGAATACTTAGACAATAGCTAGAGAGTGCAGTGTAAATAATTCTAGGTTGTCTAAACTTTTAGCAAGAAAGTATGGTGAATGACAAAACGTCCCCTTTTATGTTTCCCCCAACCGTCATCAATACCTGTGATCTAGGATCTGCATGTTGACCCAGTTCAAAGGTCGGTCGTGTTGCTCGCTCTTCTTGTCCTCCCCCTTCGAGCGAGTGAAACCCCTTATCGTGTTCCGCTTCCGCGAGTCACGTGACCTGACTCCGCCCACCACCTGGAAGCAGAGCCGTGCGGCCTTCGGGAGCATCCTCACGGGCATGTCGAACGTGATCCACTGATTCCAGCGAGGATGGACAGAGGGGACGCTTTCAGTCGTGAACTTGAGGCTGCCGAGTAGCTCTCCTCCATGGTAGACGCCAGCCTCAAGGTACACTACGTCCAGATCAGTGCCGTGGAAGTTGTCCAGACCCACTACCCTCACCCTGGGAGACGTTGAGGGGGAGGAGAGGGAGGGAGAGAAAGGAGGGTTCAAAAAGAGTAAAAACAGACAATTCAACAATTTTGCACTTTTCGAGTAACAACTGATTCTATGGCAATTTCTCCATACACAATCCAAAATCAGTTTGGCCAGAGGAAAACAGTGAGGGAAGGGAGGAAGAGGAGAGGGGGAGAGAAAGTTGGGATGCACACCTGAACTTGCGGTGGAGGTCCCACATTGACATGGTGAAGACCTGGGTGTGGTCTTTAGAGAGAGCCGACAGCTCTGAGTGGGTCCCTGTCAGTCCTGTACTGCTGTCGATGAGGCTCCACTGTGGCAGACGGGGGGAGAAGGATAGCAAAAGAAGAAAACTATAGCTACATGCACGAACCCTATTTTACACTGTACATGTACTACTGCAGTGAGTGGTGATGTCACACAAAGTTGATTTCCTTAATCCCAAACACATGTCTACATGTACATTACATCACCATTCAGAAAGTGGGCAAACACTGCATTCTTGGGTTTGTGACTCTTTCGTTTAACCAATTTATGTTTCTCCGGTAGAATAGCAGAGTATATATTCTATAACTACAACCACCTTACTACAGTTCAAAGCCACTGGCTACCCACATTTCACATGAGAACCCAACAGCGCACGTTGGTAAAGAGTTAAACGAGCCACTTACGTCAGGGACGTCCCTGCATCTGTCTTCCTCCGTGTCCTTCTTCCTCACGAGAGCGAGGACAATGTCAATCTTCTTGCCGATGCAGCGGATGATGTAACTGAACGTAATCAGTTCGTAGTGCCCATATATGTAGCTCTCTTCTCCGGCCACCTTCAGCACGTACTCGTCCAGGTTCCTGCACGAGACGGGACAGTTTGGAGGAGATAAAAAATGAGGCTGATTTGAGGGAAAACATTAATCTAAGAGGAGTCATTGCTTCAAATACACAACCAGTGTATTATACACTAAAGGGAAGAGGAAGTTGGGGTGAATTTTCAAAATTCGTCTAAAATTAGAGGTGAATGTTTTGTCTTCTGCCTGACTAAGGACACTTGGTTGGTGTGCAGAGTGGAGAGATGCTACATACATACATATGATGTACATACATTTCTTCAGGCAGACCCAGTCTCTGTCTCTTGGCAGGCGAGTCAGGAATGAACTGAGGTAACAGGTTGTCTGCTATTTCATAGACTGTGTCAGAAGAGAGAGAGAGAGAGAGAGAGGGGGCATCAAAAAACGTAGCATGATAATAAAAATAGCGCAGCAGCGGATGTATTCTCGTGAAAAGTTTAGAGAGAGAGAGAGAGAGCGAGAGTAAGTGTTTGTGTGAATCAGGGGGCACACTTATGCAAGACAATTGTAAACTTTATCCAAAGACAACACATTTTCAGAGAGAGAGAAAGAGCTCTCCTGGGTGATATTGTGGAGCCCACAACCCCCTGCTCTCTAGGCAGAGGACTCATTTCCTGTTGGACAGAGTGCTCACCCTCAGCCTGGTATGTCATGTAGGACCCGATCTTGTAGTAGACTCTGAGGAGGACTCGATCCTCCACCAACTGGTCCCTGATACTAGCCGGCACCTCCTGGAACGTCGTGTCTGTCTCCATGCTGTACTGGACCGCGTCCCGAGACCGTACCGCATAGCGACGCACACTGGAATGAAACAGAGTCAAAATTGGTAAACAGTTACAGCGAGAAGAAGCAAGAGTCGACTTACGCGACCATTTTTCTTCGGGTGATGTCCAACTCGTCGTTGTTGGCAAACTGGAGCTGGTACAACCCAATCCCTATCATGGCCCCGATCTCCATATTGAGCGTCTTTTGCTGTGATGTAATCATTACATCATTGCTAAATCAATGTGTGAGTGAGTAGTGTGTGTACCTCTTTAGTCTCGGATTTCTTCGGTTCCACGGTGAGAAATCCGGTCTCTGATTTCTCCTTTCTCCACACTTGAACAACTGCTGTTGTTTGACTATCAACCACATCAGTCAAGGTACGTACTACATTCTATATACATTGGTGACCATATATGGGCTGCCACTTGCAGTACTCGGTATATACAAACAGTAGGCTTCTTTAAAACCAATGTGGAGTAAAGATTGGGAAGGATACAAGATTTGCTGCTCATCGTACAGTTCATACGTATCATCTCTCAGTCTGTAGGTGAAGGTAAACTTCTCCGGGTCAGTCAGCAGCCCGTCGTCTTCCATCATCCCCTTCTCCCTGGATCACACGACGTCACATGACCATCACGTGACTATCAGCTGGGGTTGTTACGTACACCAACTTACCTCAGTAGAGACCAGAAGTTGTCCTTTATCTGGCCCCACGGTGTGGTCTCCTGTGGCAGACAGAATCATACGACGCGACGCCTCACTCGATGGCAAATGAAAACCGTATTTTTCATACCTTGAATGACCATCTCCACTGAAAGATCAGACGTCGGAAAATCGAACGTGATGGGAAAAGTCTGGGGGGGAAAATAATCACAACGTTCTCAGACTCTAATGCTATTTTATTAATGGACATGTGCCCCAAAATAAACACACAGAACTATTAATAATAACTCGACACTTGACGCTTACCTGTATTGTGCTGAAGACGGTTTTTGAGGGAAAGTAGGCCGAGACGGAACGGGACCTTCTGTCTGAGGTGTCTCTGACTGTCCATCTCCTCTCTTGGCTGAACGTTCCCTGTGGAGACGAGACAAGGGGAGAGAACTCGATGGCACGCAGATATTACGCCTATCATGGTACAAAGCTATAGCAATGAGGGTGTGAAGATATTTTAAGTAAAGCTAAACCATGTAGCCTCTCTTCTTTCTTTCTAAGCCTACTTACACAGCTTTTACACTTTTTCTCTCTAATCTTCGTAAGACAATTGTAAACAAAAAGCAATTGGTAGAATTCTCTACTGGTGGCTCATTCAGTTAGTTGGCAGCGCACACACGTCAACAAGCCAAAACAACCACCCACTGAAATGTACAGAGATGTTTGCTTGCTCATGGTACACCTAGTACCTGGTACACATTATCACTAGCGAGATCAACAACATTACAAGCAGTTTCACTTTCACATTTCTCCAACTGGTGCAGTTGCTGTGCACCTGTGTAACATGCATGCTAGCTGAAACCTACATATACTGATAGCTATAGCTAGTCAATGCATGCACTATCAACTTATGTATGTACATACGCCCTATACAAATGTACTACTGTACTCTAGCTCTGTTCTAACTTACTCCAGAGGGTTTTAACCCCTCTCCTCCTCCTCCTCCTCCTCCTTGATCAGCTAACAGGAAAGACATGGCAGATCACACACACACCACTGACAGAGTGGGCACTAAATAGACCAGAGCTAGGAATGCTGTTTCCACAATTCGACTGGAGTAAACACTACTACAGTCATCATACCACAGTCTTCAGTAAGTAATAGTCCACGACCACACACATAATACGCCATTTTGACACCAAACTGCCATGTTTTAGCACAGAAAATAGATCTGGTCAAACAGCAACTTCAAGTTGGAAATTAAAAAACCTCACCGACTGAAATTTTTTTTATACCAAACATGGTGTTTTCTCATTAATGTTTCCTCCAATAATTTTATGTTTCCACTCACGTTTGTTGCTGCGTGTACGTCGAACCGCAATCCGTGTTTTTTTGCGGGTGTTACGAGGGGAGGAGTTAGGGGAAAACCCTCGTACAGGGGACGGCGGAACTTGGAGGGAGGGCGAGGGGGAACGCTGGAACCTCCGCAGCCTCTCACTCTCCTCATCCTCCCCCGCAGGGGTGAGCCCCTGCTCGTTGTCCTCCGTCTCCCCCACCGGCTCCTCGATGACCGTCAGCGGCACCGAGTAGCTGCCCGATAATCTGACCTTTGCACCCTGCGTCCTCGGGGGTGTGGTCTCGGGGGCGCTCCCCGTTCTCGACACTGGTGAATGTACAGTCACGGTGTCCGATTCCGATACTTGGGATCCGTCTCCCCCAAGTTGCATAGTGGCAGTGGAGTCTGGGGTACTGGGAACTGATCCCCGCCCTCCCCCTTCTCCCTCTCCCCCTCCACCGTCGGCTTCCAGACTTGGAGTTCTTGACAGTCGTCGACGACTAGACATCTTCTTCTTGCGAGACTGGTTCCGGATGACCACACCCCTTTCTTCGGCGGGGGTTGTCGAGGGTGTACTGGTTGTCGTGACAACACTTGTGCTTCCTGGATAAGGGAAATGATTTGGGGGCGTTTTCAAAAGAGAAATCTGTTGCACAGGAAACCATCATGGATACAGATAAACCCTCAAGTCTTTTACAGACCTCGATAGTGAATTCTCTCATCTTTGTCTTCCTGCTTATTTTGAGCAATGTTTTTTGATGAGGTCATACAAGTGTGCAATTTCAGCGGTTAAACTATTCACAACACTGTTGTACATACAAATATTGTCTGCCTCAAGACACACACACATGCATAATATAGACAGATTGTGGGAGGCGAAATACAGTTATACGTACCGGCAGAGTGGAGAGAGATGGTATCACTGCTGGTGGAGTCCAGTAGGATCCTGTCGGCCATCTCGTCAGTGAGATTGAGACCAGGGATATACGAGGCCAGAGAACCACTGGATACATCTCTCTTTATCCTACGTACATACGTGTATAATCAGCCACAACTTGAGGACACTCATGAATTGTTGTTTGAGGGTGTCCATTTAATACAGCCTTGTTTGGACTGTTAACAGCTAGCGTGAATATCGTGATGTTAATAGTTCAGAGGTTAGAATTATAGACTTTGCCGAAATCATCACGGTTCAATGTGTGTGTGTATCGGCTACATGTGTGTGTGCAAGTCAGACCTTTTCAGAGAAGGGTCTCTTCGGCCTGCAAGAGAGACCAGTTCTTCCCGACTCATCACTTCCCCCGTGAGAGATGAATCCCTCGGAGGGACCTGCGGCTCCCTGTCACATGACTATCACATGATGCTCACATGACCTGGTAGAGTGAGACTCACTCTGTGCTGGTCCGACGCAGATCTGTCAACTGCTTGATCACCACTTGGTTTGCAGACATGAAAATGTCTGACTGAAGCACGAGCATTGATGGGGTTGCCCCTCTACCTAAACCACTAACGATGTAAGGGTGGTCGCACAGAGGGAGGTTCAGGTCCAATTCCTGCGTCATCTGGAATGGAATGGAGACGTGGGATGTGGAAGAAGTGGAAATAATTATACGAACCTGTTCGTTGAAGACTTTGAAAGTTTTTGGGTCAATAAGGTCGGTCTCATCAGTCTCAGGAAGTTGAATGAGACTCTGAGACTGCAGCGAGGAAAGGGTTAACATAAAGCGAACAGGAAATGAACTCACTAGCCAATAATAATATGTAGTTTAATTATGGTACATGTAGAGCTCCTGTATTTTTTAGCCAGTTGAAAAGATGTCATATAAAAAGACTTAATTTGCACCCCTGATCCTCATCTCTTTTCTACCTTTTCTCTTATAGAAGCACTAGTTCATGCTTGCCATACTGGTCCCAAACTATATAGAAAAACGAAAAGCTCCATAATACCGTTGTAAATGTATAATCAGCGACACAATTAGCGGACCCCTCTATGTGTCATAAGTAATAAGGAGAGTAAGAACGCCTCCCGCAGAGCCGCGCCAACCTCCAGATCTTTGAGAGCGGCGTCCAGGAAGTCGCTCAGTCTGCAGGACAGGTCGTATACCAGGACGTCCTGAAAGAGCGGGCCCTCTTTCTCCCCGGCTCTGACCTTCAGAGACACTCGCGGCTGTACCACCTCCTCCACCATTACGCCCAGGGGTCTTCACTACTATACTCTATACTACTACTGTAGTAGCTAGACCTCTACACCCGACGTCGCCCAGTGGTATACGTGTTTACGTACGTACGTACGCAGAAAGTGTTTCCTCGTCGTGACACGCCCATTCTTCGTCTGCTTTTACGCATGCGCATTGAACCCGTCCTCCGCGATAATCCGGCGTATAAATTATTCGCTCGCGCGCTCGAGCAAACGAACACAGAAGACGATGGCCGGTCGTCTGCCGCGGTAAGTCAACTAAGAGGCATCATAATGTAGCGTGATGGTCTAGTCCCTTGCAGATCAGTGCTTGCGGAGGTGCAGTGTTACTCCGTAGACAGCAGAGGCTACTATTCAGAGCTGAAAGAATTCAATTTTCTTGCGGAGCTCGACGTCAGCAGTCCGCTGGGCCAATCTCTGGCGGATAGCGCCCACCCAGTCAGTGATACCTATTACGACGAAAATTCTTAGCTACACATCTAGCCAGTGATGTATTTGCACAAAATTTGATCTAGAGAGATGGTTTTCGGGACCTAGTAAAACACAACACTATATAATATAGTGATAAGAAAATCAACATACATTCTCAATGTGAACGGGCTATAGCTATATTATTAGAATGTAAAATTCCTATACCCTGCAGGGTTTAGGATTTGGAGATGCAGCGTTCAACTTCAGGTGCTACTCTGCCAACTTTTTGGTACGTCAAAACACCCGTAGAAAATCAACCCGGCCCCTGGTGTACATGTGTGCAGTTGAAAGTATGCAATAACTGCATCTGTAGGGAGAGCAGATTGACCTACAACAGAGGCCCCTGCAAATCAAGTACATAGAAGACTCACTGAGAGAGGACAGGAATGTGGTCATATATCTCTGCAAAGAGTGAGCCTGAATCCATATAAATCATGAAAATATCATCTAATAAGGGGCAGTAGCTATGTGCTTAATTACAGAGAGGGAAGATGGCAAGTGTCAAAATATTTCTTTTAAAAAGTGATATCATTTCAAAAGGGAGCACAATAAGTTAGATACAATTTACTTCTCAGTTCTTTGTTCATGATGTGACTTTCTCCCTCAGAGATTTAAATAGCTTGGAGCTGGTGACAGACAACAGACAGAGAAGATCAGTGACCATTGAGTGCAAACCGAGTGTCCTGGCAAGACAATTCATCCGCTCCACATGCGGCTCTGTCTCTGGGTACGAGTCTGGATACTTTTCCGATACTGGTAGCCGACTCACCAACTCTAACTTTCCCAGTAGCTCGATTTCATCTGAGCCAGGTGTAGAAGAAGACGGTGAAGACATCGAGGAGGTCTTCCCTGTGTCTCCACCTAGTGAAGTGAAGAAATCAACACTGACTCGAATGATGACAATACACCCTTTCCCATCTCCCTGTCCCTCACGATTCCCAAAACCTCACCGCACACTTCCGCCCTATCTCCGAAATCTCCCGCCATCATCAACCGTTTGCTCCTTCCCAATTGAGGCCCAATTGAAAAAAGCGAAGGTACTCAGACAAGTTGTGACTTCATATGAACTAGGTTCTCCAACTTCTCCTCAGCCCAGCTACCAACAAGATGATATGTCAGCCATGCTCCCGCGCCACGGCTATCTGGAAGTCCCCACAACTATGCTTCGCTCTATATCCCCAACACTGCTACTGTGGAACCACAAAAAGAAGCAGAAAAAGGAGGAGAAAAAGAAGAAGACTGTGACACAAAATTCAAGGATCCCAGCGCTCAAATCGACGGGAAGAGGCAACCCCTCTGAGCGGACCTCCTCTCACAGCTACCACCTCATGGGTCTCGATCCAGAGATCATGATCTCCAGTCCAGTTCACCGACCTACTGACTCCTCGCCAGTCACGCTGAGGGACCAGCCCATGCTACGGAGAGTCAACGCCATGAAAAGGACCTCTGTCCTCGACATAGTGGACATGAACCGGCTGAGTTATGACGTAAGTAATCAAACCCACAAACTACTCATGCCGTGAATTGTCAGTAGAAATCATACACATCAAAAAAGATTAAGGTGCATATCTACCTTGTCTTCAGTTGTCAACCAACCCCATACGCGTGAGGCTTCACTTCACAGCACAGCAGCTACAGGTGATCCACTGTAGTGGCCTGTTTGGCCTGAAATCTTGCATTTTGAAAATTGTTCCGCCAATTTGATCACAGAGCGAGGCTGGCAGATCTCAGTCACTGGAACCAACCCTGGTATTCCACGTCAGGATATTCAGTCAGTTCACTACTATAATAATTAGCAGAAAATTTCTTCGGAGATAGCTAACTCTCATTTCGGTACGCAGATACAACACTTTATAAAAACTCCTGCTATAATGGTCCCCCGTCACAAAATTTGCAGAGAGTTTACAAAATCCCTACCTTTGTTTTCAGACTATATGACAGTCGGAGAGCTGAAGGCCAGTGTCTGTGACCAAATCCAGTGAGACATTATATACTACAGTGTGTAGTTAACCGTGAAGGGGCAAGAACTATATATCGATAAGTAGCTACCTGAAAATGAAATAGAATCTGGGTAGGGTATATTTTGAGACTTTCTGCAGCAGCTTCAGGCTCTAGGGGAATTTCATGGCAACTTTGGTGCTTCTCAGCCCTCCAGCAGTTCTATTCCCCCTCACAGGAGGCACACGTCAATTGTGGTGACTCCTGTTTCAGCTCTGGTCCTCTACTACACCTCCAGTGATGGAACTACTGACTATGAGCTACTCAACGAGTCTCAGTTCATGTATCCTCTCTCTCCATGAGTTCGGAAGAGTTGAGGGGGCTCACTATGTCAGTGTGCTTGCTAAAGGAAGAACCTTGATTATGGCTAGTTTAGGATGGTTGGCTTGTCCTTCCTCTACCTTTGCATGAAAGCTTAGATGACACAGGTAATAGAGAGAATGCGAATGGGTAACTGCAGATTTAAGAGCTGGACTATATCTGTCTATCCTTGACTGGTGTTTCAGGTTTCACACAGGGTTTCACCAGCAGTTGGCTGAGGGGAGCCTGACCTCACCAGAGGATCCGGGCTCAGCCGCCAGTCTGGAGGCCAGGATTGGCACCAGACTCCCAGAGAGGGAACTGCGTGTTCTCTACCGCATCAGTACACTGACTGGAGTTGTCCTGGAGGAGGACGTGATGGCTGTCGGGGCAGACACCAGCAGCCTCACCGTTGTACCAAACTGTGAGCAGACTGAGCTCCATTACGCCAGACGCTGCCTGCACAGGTGAGGACCCACACCACCTGAGGCCAACATACACATACTTTGTCAACAACAACAAAGTCTAATGCAACACGCAGTGCCGTGCAAGTTCATGAAATACAAGGCATACCACATGCAGTATTGTATACATTAGACTTTGTATTGGCCTTAAGAAATGAATGAGCCTACTGAATTAAGCTAATAGCTCTGGGGTCTCTTTCTATGTGTCTTGTCTATGGACTGTGTGCAGCTATATGATGGAGGTGGTGAGAGAGAGGAATGAGATGGAGTACAGCAGCTGTAGAGATATCTCCTCCAGAGAGGCCTCCATGCAGCTCTCACTAATGGTAGCACACACCTCCCTATATTATACTGCAATGATTTTCATTTCTGTCTCACTCCCTCGCAGACACCAGCAGATAATACACTCCCCATCACCTTCCACTACCAGACTGTGTTCTCTCTCGTGAAAAGACTCAGCAGTGAGTCTCAACTCGGCAATATCCTGTATCTCCCATGTACCTTCCCTCCCATGCTACCAGTCCATATGTATGCTGACAAAGCACTGAGCGGTCTCTTCCCGTGCCTGGTGGCTCTGGGCCTCGTGAGAGACAAGTAAGCTAAAGTTAAGAAACAGGTCTGCAAGATTTTGAGATGTGAAGCCCTTTACTGTTTTTCGAGTTGGACACAGAATCCTTCTTAAACTGTCTTCGTTGCATGCACACACAGCAACACTTGTATGAGCCACGCATGCATATCGTACAGTGTGTGCGCTGCGGTGTCTATATACTGAAAGTTCTTGACAGTTAGTCTGATTAAACAGAGAATTTGCTTGTTTACACATACATTCTGTGGAGTTTTTTCAACACTTTGTGTTTAATCACAGGATGGAGGAGTACACTCTGCAAGTTTCTGGAGAAGAGAGCTACATTTACGGGCAAACAGAACTCATTGCCTTTCGCCACATTCGAAAGTAAAACAATCACACATGGAGAAAGAGGGATCATGTGATCTAACCTTAATTTGCTGCAGGTGTATTGTGAAATCCGAACCGATTCATTTGTCAGTGACCGAAAAGAAACCAATCGAAATCGAAAGGCCGCACCATTTCAGCGTGAGATACCAATTACATCATAATGATGTCGTACTAAACTCCAGCCCCCAACCACTAGATTATGCCGCTGGATCCCTATTCCACCGTCCCCATGAAACACTATGAACTGAGCAGCCTGAGTCCCATTAGTCTGGAGGGGGTGTGGAGCTCCTGGGAGATTGAAAGGAAATTGAGGTTCGACTCGCTTCATCCTCACAGCACCTCTGTATTACCAGCATAATCTTACTCAGGCTTGTCTCTCTATCAACCTAGTAAATAAGCAAGAATAGTCCAATACATCTATGATTCTACCATACATACTAAGTAGTGGTGTATATACTTTGTGATGGTGGTTCCACGATTTTTACTTCTTCACAACAGTTTCTTGTGATAGAGAGAGCTAGTGTCTCCATCTGTTCTTCAGGATAACAAAGCTACAGGTTGAGAGTTTCCCCGTGGCGTCTCCTGGAAGAGGGATACAGCTGCTAGTGGAGCTGAAGCTACTTCACGGCTCCCGAGATATTTGCATGCCTCTTCTCTCGTCAGGGAAGGTCGGACGTGGGGCCTACAGTCTGTCCTTTGGACCCCAACCTCACGAGTTTGACATCGAAATAAAAGACATCCCAAAGGTGGATGGATATACAGCACACAGTGTCTAGAGCTTCATACACTGTTTCAAGATACTTTAGAACGTGAAGAGACAGTGTGTGTGGATACATATCTTTTCTCCGTAGGCTGCAAGGATCATGGTGTCGGTAATGGAGAGAGGAGGAAGGTCGAAAGGGAGTGGCCATGGCGACAAACCCCGCCTCCACTACTGGGGAATGATCTCTGTGTTTGATTGCAGGTATAATGCATCTGCTCATCTGGTATAGATAGACCTCTGCTTTACTCTTCTCCATTTGTAGATGTATGGATATGGGATTGAGCCGTATGTAGTTTAGCATGGTGTGATAGTGGACCTAAGCCGTATATTTCTCCGTTCAATAGTACAAGAATTAGGGGATATTAGGATGTCCAGAGGGAAAGAATACTTGCTGTGTGTGTGTGATTGTTGTTCCCAGTGGTAGACTGAGGGCAGGAGAAGCAGAACTGAGGCTGTGGAAGGGAGAAAAGAACGAGAGAACAGGAGACACTGCTGTCCCTCCCAACTTGGTCACTCACCCCGCCAACAATCCCCAGCCCACCGCCGTGAGGGTGACCCTGGCATTTGCGCCAATCCACCCCGGACCCATCCTTTACCCCTCTACCAAAGAAGAGAGCCGCACCTCCTTCGCAAAGTAAACCTCTCGTTCATCAAAGTTGGCGAAAGACTTAGCTATACCATGGGGCTAAGAAGGAACAGACTTATTAGATCCCGAAACTTGTGTGACTACACCATAATGATAGACTAGCTTGGTATTGCTGAGGCAATGTAATATCTTTCAGCAAATGTCCCCCGAGAGTATAAGATGGGTCTCCCTCTACTTTCTATGCAGGCAACATCCAAAACACCCAAACATCCCTGCCAGAAAGCAGTTCAAGGACATGCTCTCGACCATCAGGAGAGACAAACTGTACAAAGTGAGCCACTATTAGTAATCAGAAACTGTCCTCTCTACTGGCTGTCTCGTTCTCTCTGTGTCTATACCATTAGAAAGTCCCGGACTATCTTCTGGGAGGTAACAACCTGCCAGAGATGTTGGAGCAGTTCCACTCACTGGATGAGCTGCAGAAGAGCATTGAAGATGTCCCAGACTACGTATGTCTGTTCATTACCATACTCTGGGGGTTTAGTACATTAAGCCTAGCTACCACCAGTTGAAGCATGCACTTTAGGCTTCATGCATGTCTGTAGAACCAACCTAGAAGCACCCATCATAAGCTATTTGTGGAGACACAGACTGCTAACAGGTGAGATCGTATACCTTACCAGAGTAACAGGTTGAGCATCGTATACCTTACCAGAGTAACAGGTTGAGCATCGTATACCTTACCAGAGTAACAGGTTGAGCATCGTATACCTTACCAGAGTAACAGGTTGAGCACGTATCCCTTCCAGAGTACGTGAGCATCGTATACCTTACCAGAGTACAGGTTGAGCATCGTAACTTACAGTAACAGGTGGCTCGTATAGCTACCTACCAGTAAGAGCTATTATAAAAGGCAACTGAGTTTTTGTTACTTGCTCATGTGTCTGTTCAGGTTGCTCTGCGGCTGTTGGACGGCGATTTCCCTAGTGAGCACGTCAGAATGTTTGCAGTGAGGGCAACTGAGACTCTGTCAACGAACAGTCTTGAAGACTACCTCCTCAGCTGGTCCAGGTGAGCCAGACTAACTCTCCACTTTTCCTCTTCTACTGCCACACTGTACACTACTTGCTCAATAGTGGTGTTCTCTTGCAAGGCGCTAAGTTGAGGCCAACCACGACAGCCAACTGGGCCCGTTTCCTGCTCAAAAAGAAGGCACTCACCAACAAAACCATTGGCCACTTCTTCTTCTGGTCAGAGAAACACTTAGAAGAGAGAGAAAGGGTGGATAAGACCATCCTTTATAGCCAGTGCTTAAGTATAATATGTAGTCTTACTCTTCCTGTCATAATATCTAAGTTCAGCTGCTGACAAAAGCACGATGCTTTCTTCCCTGACTAACTATGCCAAAATTATATCTATTTCCATGCTAAATAAGGATGCACTGTGTGTGTCTGCCTCTGTCTGAGTGCAGGTAACTCAAGTCCAGAGATGCACAGTCGTCTGCACACAGCTCGGTTTGCCGTCATTCTGGGAGACCTACCTAAGGATGCGGAGAATCTCTACTGGTCGGTGATGAAACGAAACAAAAGTCTAGCGTCCATTTGAACCATGCTTTACTCTGCACCCTTGCCACTATAGTCAAACTCTATCTACATTTTTCAGACGCAGTTTACTGACCAGGGTGGACATAACAGAACTCGTCTCTCTGTGACATGGCAGTAAAGGTATGTAACGTAAGAAGACGGCAGAGACGAATAAGGTAGTTGTGTTGGCTGAGCAAGCGGTCCTCAGCTCTGTAGGAATGACACCATCATTGGTTTCACACCTGAAATCCTGAAAGTTCCTGTCTCCCTGGGAGGTTCCCTATAGATACCTGTGCGTCTCCAGTATAGAATATGCTGTGATGTATAGAAGCCTTACCCGCAGATGTTTGCCTGAAGAGTGTGTCTGTGTGTTGTGTGTCCTCCCTTACACTCCCTTTCACCATGTCCTGTTGTGGTAAATAATCAGTTATACAACTGGTGGTTTCCCACCCCATATGTCCTACTGGTGCATCCTTTTAGTGAACGAGACATGTAGGCAGAATTATAGGAGTCAGAATTGGTTCAACAAACTGTCAACAAAACACTTGGTTTGTTGTGCCTGGATTGTTATGAATGTTGGGTTGTTAGGCGCAGAAATAGAGCAGCGTACACAATACCATTCACACATATATGAGGCCTGCAAATATTATCAGCTAGCCTTCAGTAATGTGAGGTTTCTGTTATGGTTCTGTGATGCCTGATGTTATCGCTAGTCAGAAGACAGTGACATAGGACACAGCAGACTGGAGAGAATGCAGCTCTTGTTCATTCTCATTCTCGAGGAGCTGGAAGTCCTCGCTTCACCACATCCTTCTAGTCCACAATCCGCAGGTATGTTTCATGCCAAGTCTTTCTCACCATCAACTCTTTTCTTTCTACGTTTTCCATTTTCCAGTCACATTCATTCAAGCCATCAAATTACTTTTCAAACTCACCACCTCCGAACCTATAGGCTATGTACAAAGAGATGTATAGATCTCTAGCTCAAAATCGCTGGGCAATCTAATGCTCTAGTCACACTATCGTCACAGCACACACACAAAACCTATGACAGTCCTGGGTTATAAGTAAACCCTAAAAGTGTGCACAGTCATGCACATCAAGTAAGGTAGTATGCGATCTACTAAAGACGGCTCACACTGGTTTTTCTAGTAACATGAGAAACAGCGCAGAGACCAATGTGGCTGGAGTATGTAGCAATATCATCCAGCGCTGCTGAGCTAGACCCCATTCGTGCGGTATCCTAAACGGTGACTACCTCCGAAACAGTGTACAGTATACACTCTACGAATGTTCTCTCTCTGCTTTGAGAGTGTGGTATAGCTGTGAGTATAGGTCGAATATGAATTATTCACTACGAGGGCAACGATGTATCTATCTAGCTGTGGGAGGAGTCAGGAGCTAGACACTTGGAGCTCATTCCATACAGGATGTATGGCGACTGGACGCTCAGACTTGGCTTTATTCGAAGTGCAAGATGTCCAAACGCAACCACAGGAGGTCAGAGGAATTTGATAGGCCACGTCGTGGAATTCAAGTGCTCTCGCTGCGTTCACTGGTTCCTTTAGGTGTCTAGTGTGACTAAACGAGCACGAAACTGTTCGAGTGATCAAATCTCACTACCAGACTAATGGAGTGATGTCAAAATCCTAAACACATGCAGCACTGATATCGCTAGTTTTGTCGTGTTCTGGAAAGTAATTAAAAAATTGTAACTTTTTCACTCTTGTAGTGAGTTTGGAGAGTATAGATCAGGTTAGTGGTAGTAGTCACGGTTAGAATTCAGGGTCGATCGTGTGCTGATCTCTGTCGTCAAACTATTTCCTGTTGAGTACCCCAGTGATCACGTGTGACGGTCATGTGATGATGCATGTGATGAGTCCCCCGCAGCACAGCACAGGGGATAGGAGACAGAACACAATGATCAACATCATGGTCACCATCATGTGGCAACCTGTTCCAACATCGACTTTGGACACCTCAATCCTCGGCCTACATCAAATACTTTATGGTAAATACTGGTTAAATACGATTGGAAATTCAGTCATACATGCTCAATGGTGGAGAAAACTGTATTTTTTCTTAAGGATTCAAGAGGGAGTGGGTCTCGCATTTGTTCTGACGCCAGACTTTGTATCGTACATGGTGGATAGGTAGAGAAAAATGTTGCTGGCGCAAATTCTCAACGTCATATTTGTTTTTTGTGTTTCGCATAACAGGAACTGTTTGGAGGTAGCGGTATCACAGAACACGCTCTGGGCTGGGCCGGGCATTCCTGCGCTCTCTTGCAGCATAGAATGCGCGACCATCATCATCACCTCTTTCAACAACTCAGTCGAGTGAGCTGGTGCCTGGCATTCATGCTAACCCCTTCTCCA